ATTTTAAAAAAGAATAAATAAATAGTCCTTGCTTTAAGGGAGTTCAGATTAGTGGGACAAATGGTTAAAATTGTGTTTAGGTAAAGAATGATAACACAATACACAAGTAAGGCAATACAAATGGAAAATAAAATATGAAAAGACACACAACCAAACTAGTAATCAGGGAAATGCAAATTAGAACAAAATATAATTTTTCACTCATCAGGTTGGAAAAAATCAGAGTTTGACAACATTGTGTGTTGACAGGGATAAGAAAACATTTCTATAAAATACTCTAGAAGCCAATTAAATACTATCCATTGAAATTTACCTTTTAAAATGAGGTGCAATTTCACTTATAGATATCTGAGAAAACTGTCCAACATGGGCACAGGAAGCATATACAAGTATATCCATTGCCATGGTATCTGTGTCAATGACATATTAAAAGCCAAAATGTCCCTCAATGGAGAAATGAGCAAATAAACTGTGACCTAGCTACACTATGGAGTACTGTGCAGTAATATTAAATAATGAATTATGTGTAGTGACAAGAAAAGTGAAGGGACATTACACATAATATGATTTCATTCGTATTATTTTGAAAGACACAAAATAGTATTTTATGGGTGTATTTCCACAGATGTAAATGCTGAGAAAGGTCTGTAGGGTGCATACTGAACTATACAATAGTAATTTCCTCTGTGATGGGGTGAGGAGACCTGAATTGGGTGTGGTGGTCGTGAGTGATTCCAGTTTTATCTGTGATCATTTCTTTGTATTAAAGAAAATTATGTGTATATGTTCTATGTGTAATTAAACTTAATTTTCAAATTCTGTGCAATTAGAATACTATAGGTAATTGCTATGACTGAAGTCCGGCCTCTGCAACAGGGACTAGGGTCCTTGTCTGGACTGGAGTCTGTTTCTCTCTGCACTCAAAGTCTTTGAAGTGGTCTCCGTCACTAGCCCCACCCACGTGCTCTTGCCATTCTCCAGGTGTCGGCCATCCCCACCTGGCCTTGCTTTGCTAACGGTCCCTGTGCTGCTATCCCTCTTAGAAAAATCTCTTACCCTTTTTAGGATGCAAAAAAGAAAAAATGTTGGCCAGATAGTGAAGAAGATCCTCATTAATATGTTCCTTGTATGATTATGCAATAAGAAAATCAAGTTACACAAGTTTGGCATTTATGGTGGTATCTTGAATCTTGTTTGAACCTTGCAGATTTACCTCTATGTAAAGTGTAATTTGTTGCTTCTGACTGTTAATATAAAAGTTTGTTATAATAAGGTAACAAAAGCTTCTACACTATTCCAAACTATATCCCGTGAAGGTACGTTATTAGATAAACTTTTATATTCTTTGTTTATCTACTCAATTCTCAAACACAAGGTGGGTGTCCACTGGAGGCTAGTTCCTGCCTCCTGTGAGTGGTCTATTAACATAGAAATAAGACTGTACCAGTCTCCTGCTTAAAGTAGTTCAATGGATATCATTGTCTTCACAATAAGGTCCAAATGATTTGACATAGACAAAGCCCTTCATTATAGGTCTCTTGCCTCTCCCTAGAGTGTAAATTGTTGTCATTTCCTGACTTCCAATACTGAATCCGCTTTGTTCACTCATTCCTTTGTAAATGCTGTTCCTTCTGCCTGGAGTTTCCCAAGCACCTCCCCAAATACCACCCTTCTCTTGGCCAACTCCCAAGATGAGTCATCTATGATTCAGTTAAGGAGTTTTCTTTGGGTGCCTTCTTGTTTGGGACCCAGAACTGTGATACCAGTATGTCCTTTACTTCTGTGTCTTCCCTACGAACTGATGAACTTCTGGGGACAGGGATCACATCTTTTTTCAAAGCAAAATGCCAACAGAGGCCAAACAGGTAAGGCAAATGAAGGACTTGAGCTGGATGGAGCGAAGACCACGCCCTGAGTAAAGGGCACCCACTGCTCAGCTCCAGCTGGCTGTTGCTGTGTGGAACATAGACCAGGGCTGGCAATCCTCCTTGTAAGGAGGAATCAGAAATTCAGTTTGCTAATGTGAATCCTCTTTATTCTTTTACCTATGCTCTGTGGGACCAAAGCAAAAACAAAAAACACACTAGCCTGAAATGCAACCTCCACCATACACCATGCCCCAAACACGGCAAATGCTCCAAACATGCCTGTTGAACACGTCTCATGCAGTGTCGGGCGTGGCCAGAGGTCCCAGGTGCTCGATGTTCCATTAAGTGTTAAGCACGTCTCTGTCTCAGGAAAACTTACTTTGTTTTATTTTTTTGTGGAAAGATCCTTCAAGTGATACTCAGTGTTCACAATTCTTAACATGGGTAGCTTTGGCCTCATTGTTTATGCCTTTCTCAGATGGTTCTAGTAGGGTAGCAGTGCTTCACAGAAGGGTTTTAGACTGGAGCAAACTCTTAACATGGTGCCTCGAAGTTTTCTACAAAACACTACAGGTTTTTTTAATTCTTATTATTTTTATTTTTTGTCCTTGGAGCATAATCAGAGTCCCTATTAACTTGCTTCTTGAAGAACTCCACCAGGGTGTGGATATCCTGGGAATAGAATTGCTTATTTACAAAGAAAAGCTCTGTTCCCTGCAAAAGGCTCTTCTAACGCAGAAGGGTATCTCCTGAGAGCCTGGAGATACTAGCCTGTCACCTAATGTTTCCACCCCTTGTAACCCCCCAGGGCAGAATCCCTTCTTGTAGCGGGCAGACACATACCCTCTGTAAGGCAGAGATTCTCAGGCTCTGGGTGTCTAGGAGTCAACGGAGAGCTTGTTTAAATGCAGCTTCCTGGGCCTGACCATCTGGCTCAGTAGATCGGGGTGGGGCCCAGGAATCCACATTTTTGAAAAATTATTTTTATCCTAATCCTAGGATATGCTTATTGATTTTAGAGAGAGGGAAAGGGATAGAGAAAGAGAAGAGAAACATCAATTGGTTGCCTTCCATATATGCTCTGACCTGGGACCAAACCCACAACCTAGGCATGTGCCCTGTCTGGGAATCAAACCTGCAACCTTTTGGTTTGTAGGATGATGCCCAACCAATTGAGCCACACCAGCCAGGGCAGGAATCCACAGTTTTAACATGCCTTGCCAGCAGATTCTCCGACACTGGCAGTCTTCAGATAATACTTGGAGAAAAAAGACTAAGGTGAAATAGCCCAGTCATGCTAACTCATCATTAACACACTTAAAATCTGAAAATTTCTCGTTAGAAACTCACCTTTGTGACTTCAGTTTTAGCACTAAACTCAGAAAGTGTTTCCAAAGACACTGACACCTTTTCCTGAAATGCTGACTTCCTGGAGGGGTGCTGAATCTGCATTTGAACTCCAACCCGTTGGATGACAAGCTGACATTTGAGTCAGCTCAGCCTCTTGGCTCCTGTGTTTTAACAGAAGTATTTTAGCTGTCTCAAAATATCTGGCATTGGCATTAGTATGAAGTAAAGCCAAATTTTGTAAGATAGCCAATATGTAAATTCTATTTCAAGCCACAGCATTAATTATAGGATTTGAAGACCGAATGTTTACAGAACACTCATATTTTTTGATGAGAAGAAATGAGATACTCACATGTTTTCTGTAGGCGAATTGTACTGTTGTTACAGAGTTAATTGGTTTGCTTGTGAGTATCTGTGATGCATTGGAGCTTGCTAGGCTCTTTTGGGATAGAAACTCCGCTGGCTCTGGGAAAGGATTTTTAAACTAAAACCTTAATTGTATAATTATCAGCTCAATTACAGGGAAAGTGTGAACCATACGCTTTTAAGTTCACACCTAAAAAGAGATGCTATCCCTCCCCTTAATAAAGGGGGAAATAGAAAAGTTACATTTCTTCATAATCAGATGTTCCCAGTGAGGGTTTACTAATTTAGAATCCCATTGTCGAGGAGGGAAAAAGTCTGTGTCTGAACCCTGTGGAAACACATTCTAACCCCGGGGAGCAAAAGGTGAAAAGAATTCTGGGAGCTGAGGTTGGTCTGTTGCCAACAGGGGAAGAGCCTGGGAAGTCATGACCCTCTGATTAGTGCCTTCTCTCCACTCTCCATCCTGCTTCTCGCCTGCTCACCTGATGGCTTTTCACCGCCCGCCAGTAAGCTCTGTGGAAAGGCCCCATTTGGGGAGAATTTACAGAAGGCATAATTGCATGAAGACAGTCCTTAAAAACCTTAACCCCATACTACTCTGATCTCTGTGGTGTTTATATTTCTTGATAATCACTGTAATTTTGTGCATCAGGATTAGTCTTCTAAAAAGCAGATGGAAGAGGTGGGTGATGAGAGCTCATTTTCATTATTTTATATTGAAGGGTGTACATGAGCTTTGGAGTCAGACAGACCTGGATTCAAATCCCAGCTGTCCTCCTTTCTGCCAGCATGACCTTGGGGCTATACTTGGCATTTCTAAGCCTTGGTTTCTCCACTTATGATATGAAAAGGGGGGATAATAACAGGATAGTTGTGTGGATCAAATTAAAGAAAATGATGTACAGGCCTAAATTTCTTATCTGAAGCATGTGGAGCCAAATGTGTTTTAGTTTTCAGAAACATTCACATTTAGTTAATATGATAAATAGATAGTTCATTGCATACACTTCGCAGTAGGGGCTGGGACAGTATCTGTAACCAAATACATTATTTTTTTCTGCAGTGAACCATATGAATATTCATATAATTTTATGAATATTATAAAGACTATGCATAGCAGTATGTCAGCTCAAGTCATTTTAAAGCCAAATTAGTTTGTGAAAAGTTACAAGAGACTTACAAGGACTATAAAGAATGTTTCATTAGATCCATCTATGTCTTGAGGTCAAATGAGTTGGATCCACTTACCCAGGATTTGGAACTCTGGGCTCAGTGTATGTTAGTAAAAATTTATTTTAGATCTTTGCACTTTTTGTCGTCCACAGGTCATCTTGAATGATTGATGATAAAAAAATGCTTATTATCCACATGTCCCCTATTCATGCTAACATCTGTCATCGTTAAATTATTTCACAGGTTTATTTCAAAAACAAGCTGAAGTTGGCCCTAATTGGTCAGAGCCTCTTTGGACAAGAAGTCTACAGCCGCCTCTGCAAAGAGGGCCATCGAGTGGTGGGGGTGTTCACAGTTCCGGACAAGGATGGCAAGGCTGACCCCCTGGGTGAGTGCGCCTTGGAACGACTGGATCAAAGACTCTGAAATAGCCTTTCCACTCTTCAGCCTGGAGTCCAACTCAGACCCCTTATTTCTCATTAGCATTTCTGTCCTTCCATTCATTTGCCACCGGCCCTGAAGACCCAGATGGCTTGCCTCCCTTCTGGGCTCTGCTCCGTCCACCGGACCTATTGAAGGCCTTGCCAGGCCAAGTCCATTGGCATGGTGGATAGAGAGTCACAAATTCTCCTTCTCTGTGGGCTCCAAGATGAAGGGACAGGTCCCTGTTGTATTAAGAGTTGCCCCACTTATCTCCGTGGTACCCATCAGGTCCATCAGAGGAATTTCCGGGTATGTGTTTTGCCTCAGGTACACTTGTGACTTTTCAAAGAGTAATATCTAATGCAGAGGTGCCAATAGAAATAAAGAGGAGGCCACAGCCAACCATAAATATTGGCATGAGGTCATTAAAGAATGCATTTATCTCAGAACAAATTGTAGCTGGGGCTGCTTGGTGATTAATGTGGGTAGAGAAGACAGCCATCCTCAGAGCAAACCTGCCGTGTGATTCGGATTCCTATGCTGTATAGTTATGTCAAGAAAGGGTGCAAGACGCAGAGATAAAAACAGTCTACAAATAATACAGGTCAGGAATAGGATTAGTGTCTAAAAATCTTGGCTTATGACTTGGATCTCCATGAATCACTGGTATGATGCAACATGTTGGTTGGAAAACAGTGTAACCATAACCCTAAAATCTTACTTTTTTTGTGTGTGTGGGGGGGGAGAAACAGCTCTAGAGTTTATCCTAATTCTTATTTCTGCCTTTAAAAATAATATATTTTAATATTATTTTTCAAGAGTCAAGGTAGGAAATAGTTGGGCCAAGAGCTCATATGCAACATGGAGTCAATGAATAGTGACGATTGGATGAAAAGAAGGAAAGGGAACCAAAACAAATGTAGGTAAAAAGCCTAAAATGCTTACTGATGGAAAATAAATATAGTCACTATTTTAGGGTATGGAGTTAGTAAAAATGGTATTTTATTATGGAAAAATGCGCTTGTGCTGTCTGCATCTTGGAGGGTGATTCCATGTCACACACAGGTGGGATGGAGTCATTCTGTTTGGAAGGGACATTTTCCTCTGGAGGGAGCCTCAGATCTGTCCCCGTTTGGCCTGATCCCCTCTGGCACATGTGCTTCAGCCTTGGTCTCTCTCCTCCCGAAACTTACATGATGGGTGAATTTGGGAAAAGGAACTAGACAGGCTCAGCTCAGCTCCTTTCTCCCTTTATCCTCTGGATGGATCTGCCTGTTCGGCAAGGAGAGTGAGTTCTTGTTTACAGTTTGCCCTGTGGTTAAAGGGACTCCCCTCAAGAAACAGGAATGAGAAGAAACTTGAGGTTTTCCAACTGTGCCGGAGGCTGAATATGCTTGATTTGGGTGGTGCTGTATTGGCACCTGGCTTCAAATCTAAAAAACATGAAAATATTCTTTAAGTGGCTGGATCAGTAACAGGGTACAGATGTTGACCAATGGAAAAAAAGCTTCAGTTAAAATCTCAAAATGTTATCTACCCACACATGTTTGAGGTCAAATGTTATACTTTAAATATATAGATAAAAATCATATTAGAAAAATGAATGGTTGAGGCGGACCCTGGCTTGTGGGGTCTGTGGTGTTATGGATGAGACGAGACAAATTCACATGGACTACTGAGTACTGTGGAGGAAAAGGGATAGCACGGCTATTCTCTCAAGGGAAGAGGGCCCAGACCCTTGCCTTGAGGAGCTTTTATTGCTTTTCTGGGCACATTACATGATGGTCCTCACTATACAGAGATTCACTTCAGGTGGTTACCTTTTACAGAAAACAAAGGAGAGGATGTCGCTAATCACATCACAGAAGAAGGATGTTTGTAAATGCAAGGGGAAAAGTGGTTGAACTGGTTATACTCATCCTTGGAAGTGTTGGCATAAATTTTAGAAAGTCACTTTAAAGATATGCAGTAAATGTTTTCTGCCTCAATTCAGGGTGAGGGAGTTTTAGCAAAAAGCAAGCCTCAAAGCAGCCGAGGTACAATGCAGGCCTGATTTCCCCATGGGAGAATCCAGACATGGGCGTGGGTCCTGTGTATCGGACCTCACTTTCCACTGGCCTTTCCAAGTGGTAGCTGGGCCCACGTCACACAGAACAGTCTCTTATAAATGGTTCCTGGTAAAACTGTAGCAGGTCGAATCCTGGTCAGAATCTAACTGGTTCTTCACCATGCTTTATTTGTAAATGTTTCACAGAGCTATAAAATTATAATGTGTAAACCCATAGCAATATAAAACAGATAGCTACAATTCTTTTTAATGAAAACAATCTTCTCTTTCATGCTCAGCTTTGGCTGCAGAGAAAAATGGGACTCCTGTGTTCAAGTTCCCTAGATGGAGAATCAAGGGCAAGACCATAAAGGAGGTGGCAGAGGCCTACAGATCTGTGGGTGCCGAGCTAAACGTGCTTCCTTTCTGCACGCAGTTCATCCCCATGGATGTCATTGACCGCCCAAAGCACGGCTCCATCATCTATCACCCGTCCATCCTCCCCAGGCACAGAGGGGCCTCTGCTATCAACTGGTGAGTTGGGTTTTTTTTTTAATAACTGAGAAGATGGGCTTATTTCTCTTGCAAATAATATTTCTGTTTTGTGCCTAGGTGATCAAGAAACTAGGTGTTCCTTGAGCAGTTGTGAGGTCCTGCATGATCGCTACTGTATGACCTCCCCTGAGAGTTAGAGGTTCTGAATGAGACAAAATAGCATTAGAATAGCCTGTAACTAGGTTACAAGAATTGATTGTAATTAGGCATTCAGCAAACAAAGGTTCTATGGTCAGACAACCTTGGTTTATGATGGATTTCTTCCCTACGGGACTTGTCAGAGCTTTTAATATGTATTTTACTGTTAGCATCATAATCTCTAGGAGGAAATGATTACAGTGTTCCCAAACTTATTTGACCATAGACCATTTTTTTGTTTTTGCTGTGTTTTGTCATGGAACATCTCAAGTACATTTCAGGAAACACTGAATTACCTGAAATTATCTTCTCTGTTGTCTGTCTTCCCTCATTCAACTTTAAGCTTCTGTATTTCCCAGTATCAAGAACAATGCCCGGGACACTTCAGGTGCCCGGTACCAGAGGCCTGCTGTGTCGTGCGTTGAGGGGGGCCTTCCCCACCCTCTTTCCCTTCTCTCCTTTACCTGCACATCTCCCAGACAGCACCCAGTGTCAGGTTATTGAATAGGCAGAAAATCTACACTTAGTTTAAGTGTGAAGAACATGTCATTGAATTTAAAATCTGATTACATAAATTGATTTCATTTTCTCTTTAAATAGTACTGTGGGGCATATCTTTGTACTTAAACTTGTATTTATTTTACATTGCTTCTACATGCAGAATCATGGGGTCAAAGCATATGGATATTTTCAAGGATCTTGATAACAATGCCAATTAATTTCTGAAAAGTGTGATTAATTGATTGATTGATTTAGGTCTGATTAATTGCTCAGAGAAGTAAAATGATTTAGATCATGAGCAAAGCGGATGTACCACTTCATGCTTGTGTATATCAACCTGTGCTGTGATATGTTTTTATATGTATTTGTCCACATACCCAGCTTATTGTATGTATTATAAGCTCCCACAAGGCCATCAATTTTATTTTAGGTTAAGTTTTATAGAGCCCAAAATACAAATAGTTAAAATAATCAACTATTTTTTACTACAATTTATGCAACCAATCTAAAGCTACTCCTAACTCTAAATGATGCTTATACTTGAATTACATTCCTTAAATCAATAATCAGTTCTCCTCTTCACATTGCAGTGAGCACCCTCAGTTTTATCTTCCAATACCTTATTCTGTCTAGTAGAAGGTCAAGTACCATGTAAGAGTTTGGACGCAGGTGGGCGAAATTACTTGAAAGCCGACATCAGGCAGTCAGTGGGTGGCAGAGATGATGGACGCCAATACCTCTTTGGGTAGACTATATGTCATTAGTGTGTGTTAACAAGACCATAGATATCTGGATGCATAGAATAGCAGCACCATTGAATGGGGCTTTTATGAGTGCTGACGTCTCCTGGCTCTACTATTAATTTCTCACAGTAGCTTCATTCACCATCAACTCTCCATCACAACTACCTTATACTTGATCACTAATGCATCATTTCATGATACAGTTAACCAACATTTTAAGGTGAAACTCTCTTTTCTTTACAGGACTCTAATTATGGGAGATAAGAAAGCTGGGTTTTCTGTGTTCTGGGCTGATGATGGTTTAGACACTGGATCCATCCTTCTTCAGAGGTCATGTGATGTCGACCCCAATGATACAGTGGACACACTTTATAATCGATTTCTTTTTCCTGAGGGAATCAAGGCCATGGTCAGTATATTTATGCCATCAAGAAGGATTTACTAAACCTTTAAAGTTTCGAAGATATTTTTCTTGTATTGAAAATTTGCTCATCTGAATTTTCACTAAAAATACAAGTCTGACAAACAAAATCAGATTTTGTATTTACTAGTAGGATGGTGTATTTAGGGCAGAAAGCTAAATTTTAAAATGTCTAGTATATGAAGCTGACTGGATCTTCTAGAGCAATGATCAAATGGATAAACTAGCGATCAAACTGCTTTTCCCAAGCACCTGAATCTCCAACCCTGTTTATAGTGACTAATTGTAAAGACGTATAGAGGATCTTAAGAAACTTTGCTATGTACCAATAATTTGGACTTTCTCCAAAAGTGTTTGAAATCAAAGTCTATGTAACAAGGTAAGATCTGGCATTGCTGTTTGTTCAGAGGTGCTCCGAGTAGAAATCTTGGAGCATGTACCGGTAAAATCTCAGAGCCACAGAGTAAAACTATATTAGCCTGTAAAAGTATTGAAGGACAATTTTAGTGTCATTTAATGCTTCCCAGAGTTTGACATGGCAGAAACGGCAACACAGAGGTGACAGGAGCAGCATGTGAAGCAGCAAGCAGCCTTTGGGTTCAGAGCAAGGAGAGCAATGTTTTGTTTGTCTCATTCAATGATTTAATGACCCCAAAGTTCTCATTCTACCACTTTTTTAGTGTGTGACAATAGGCAGGTCACCTTAGCCTCTTTAGCCTTGGTTTCCTTACCTATCAAATGCAGATAATACCACCTGATGGACAGTTGTGAAACTTAAATGGTATTTGTGTAAAGCGCCTGGCACATAGTAGGTGCTCAAAAATGATAGTTATAATCAAAATAGTATTATGTGTTTTCATTGGCATTTGCTCAAACCTGGTTCCTGTACCCAAGCCCAGATGATGTTATAGCGAGAAGCGGGTAGGATGGATGAGCTGCAAGCTGGCCCTTGCTCCCAGGTGGCTCCATTCACATGTTCTCGGGAAGGTTGGTCAGCAGCTGTGGTGCTCAGAGAGGAATCTGAGGAGTAGAGCTCACACAGGCCTCCCAGTGAAGGAGGGAGGCGCTCAACTCAAGCCAAACATGAACACAGCACAGAAGAGAATGCAACACACATTCCAGAGGCAATCAGACTCATGGGTAGATACTAACTTGTTAAAATTTCAGGTGTCCTGAGCTAGAAAGCAAGTTGAATTGCTTACATATAACAAGGCATCATTGACTACACTCATCATGATGAGCAGAAATAACCCATAATGACCTATTTTACAATCATACTCTTGAAATTTCCATGCGCTCATCAAAGGGAGGTTGAAATTTGTTTAAACAAGGAAGCACGTATGAGCTTGATATTGGCAGTAGACAGACTTGGATGCGGGTCTTTCTTCTGACACCTACGAGCTGTCTCTGCGATCTTGAGCTAGTTGCTCACCTTTTCTAATCCTCAATTTCCTCATGTGTGAGACAGAAATGATAACATCCACCTTGAAGGGTTGGTGTGATGTTGCAAGGAGTATGTCACATGAAGTAGCTTCCGCACTGCCTGGCACATAGATGGATCTGAAGAAATGATAGTTAGTTATTATCACAGTCTGGCTCTCTGGACAGAGTTATATGCGGTGATTCTGTAGAGCAGAAACTCCAGTTAAATGGATCGTGCCATTGCTGCCCATGGGGCTGTAACACAGGTAACATTCCTGGTTCTAGGTGGAAGCTGTTCAACTCATAGCCGATGGAAAAGCTCCTCGGATTCCCCAGCCAGAAGAGGGGGCAACATATGAAGGTATCCAGAAAAAGGAAAATGCTGAGGTATTTACACAAACTCAATAACACAGCTCAAAATTTGTGGCCCTTCACCTTTAAGTGGTTCTCAATGTCCCGTACTGTGGCCCAATGGTAGATCTCCAAGCCAGCTGGCCCCACCCTACCCACTTGTACTGGTGGAGAGAAACGTTTCCCTTGCCTTTGACATTGTCAGCATTAGGAGGTTCGGCGTGTGCTTTGTGCTTTCCTAGATTCCTTGGGATCAGTCTGCTGAAGTTTTACATAACTGGATCCGAGGCCATGATAAAGTCCCCGGAGCCTGGGCAGAGATCAATGGACAGGTGTGTTCTAAGGACCATTTTTTCCCATGTTACCACCATAAGAGGTATCACACATAAATCTAGGTTTTCTGTGGTCTTCCCTTGGTCATGAGGAAGGTCTGTGATTCTAGGTACATGTGACCTGTTACAAGGAAACACCCCCTTCTTTACTCAGCCACAGAGAGCATTTGGTGGGGCTGAGTGTCCATCCTCACTGTTCCAACGATGCCCTGCCTACCTCTGACGTAGCACTTCATCTATCGTGTCTCTTTATTTATCTACCCCTCCTCCTCGACTAAACCATGACTCTTTTAGTGGGTAAAGCCTTCAACTTGTTGTCCTGATGATCTCAGCACTTCAGCAGGGTTCTTAGTGCCGACGTGCCAATGAGGTGCCCACATGAGGTGCCAGTAAGAATATGTGGGATCAGTGAGGACCAAGGGAGGACATTTAGTGTCGTGGCAAAGAGTGTGGGATCTGAAGCCAGAATGTTTCAGTTAAAATTCTGACTCTGCCACCATTTGCTGTGTACCCTGGGGCAGGTTACTTAACCATTGGGTGCCTGTGTCCTCATTGTAAAATGGAACTAATAACAGCACCTCCTTTACAGGTTATGGGTCATGTGATCATTTAATGAGTTAGCACATGTTAATTCATGTAAGCACTTGGTCCCTGGCTTACGCCATTCGGTAAATGTTAACCATCACAGTGCTCAAGAACTGAGAGCTGACAGTCACAGAAGTATAATAACAAATCAGTTGGTGTCAAGTTCTCTTGGTTAGAGTCTAGATCCAGTCCTGTTTCCATGAACCGACCCGCAAAGCACCCTGAACTTCCCGTCCATACCCCCACTGTATTGGAATAGTCTGTTTCAGACTCCGCACCCACCCTCACTGACCACCCCCCACAACACCTCCACTCCCCTCAAAACCCCACCTTCAGCCTGCAGCATCTGTGAGAGCTTCTCATTCACCTTTGTATCAATGTGAATAAATGAGAAACGTATACTCACGTTGTCTGGATGTGGGGCATTTTGGGGGTTCTTCAGTGATACAGCTGCAGACCATCTCTTGCTTTGTGTCCTTTCTGCAGATGTTTGATATAGTCTCTCACATTGGGGTGTCTCGATTTTATTATAAATGGTAATTCCAGCTCTTCTGGAGTGAGTACAGCCTGTACATCCCCGTTCAGAGGTGCAACTTCCTCACTTTGCACTTGGGTTTGATTTCTTTATTAGGTGGTCACGTTCTATGGCTCGTCACTACTGCATAGCTCTGTGCCTCCTGGGGAACCGCTGGAAATTAAAGGTGCCAAGAAGCCTGGTGTTGTTACCAAAAACGGACTTGTGCTTTTTGGTAACGATGGAAAAGCAGTGAGTATTCAATATGGCCACCTATAAAAAATGCCTTTTTTGGGTTTCCTTCATAACCCAAGCTATGAAGGGACTATCTTTCACAAGGTAATCTGGCTTTGCAGTGGGATGGGGGGGCTCAAGGAAGGTATCTGTGCCCCTTTCTTCTCTGGGGTTGAGCTGGCTCCTTGTGCCTGGATAAGAACAAGGCTCCCGAAGATGGGCCCAGGGACATGCACAGTCTGCTTTGCGATACAGTAGAAAGAGGTTGGGATTTAATCAGGAAACAGGATGTGAATCCCTGCTCTGCCAGGTACTGGTCGTGGGCAGGATGCTTCTCCCCTTTGGGTCTCGGTTCTCCATTTACAAAGCAGAGAGAGTAATCCCATCTGTCTGCTTCCCACTGCCAGAGTCCGGGAGGATCCAAAGAGATGGATGTGGTCCTCATTAGATGCACCGTGCCTTTGCCTCTCCACCAGGAGCCCACCTACACCCCCCTGAGCTTGGGAGTGAGGGCTCTGGTGGGCTCTGGCCTCAGTGGGCTCTTGGGCACAGCTTCCCTGTGGAGAAAGCAAAGGCAATTTGCCACATTACAGACACTCTCTGCTGGCGTGCAGGACAGGTCAGTTATTAAGCTTGTAGGCTCCAGAGTCCAGCTAGTTCTGGGTTTGTAACCCCAGCTCTGTTACTTATTAGCTGTGTGGCATTGGGCACATTACTTAACCTCATTAACCTCATTTCCCCCTCAGTACAATGGGTGTAATAGTGGCACTTGCCTCCATCAAGATTTATGGGATTAAATTAGAGGCTTTAGCATGTACATACTTAGCACTGTGCAAGTTAGCATGAGTGTTCAGAGGATGGCAGTGGTGGTAGTTACAATAGGTTTTAGTCCAAATGCCTACGTCACATGTCAGTTCTTCAGGGGCTTATTATCCATTTTGAGATGTATCTATACAGATCTACACAGACTTAACTGTCTGTCTTCTTTCTGCTGCCATTATTTTTTTTAAGTTTTTAAAAAAGATTTTATTCATTTGCTTTTCAAGAGTGGGAAAGGGGGGAAGAGAGGGAGAGAAACATCAGTGGGTGAGAGATGCATTGATCAGTTGCCTTTCACATTCCCCCAACTGGAGACCTGGCCCACAACCCAGGCATGTGCCCTGACTAGGAATCGAACTGGCAACTTTTTGGTTCGCAGGCCAGGGCTCAATCCACTGAGCCACAAGAGCCAGGGCTCTGCTACCATTATTACAATACTGTTTCAGTCCTTTACACATAATGGTAAGTGCTCCTCATCCATATGTTTGCATTTGCCAAATAATCTGCTCCTTATATAACATGTATATATGACTTCTCCCACCATCTTCACTTTGGAATCGTCCGAATCCTCAATTATTTTTTCTTATTTTGTTGCCGTCTTGTAGTTGATGGTGAGAAATCTGCAGTTTGAGGATGGAAGGATGATCCCTGCCTCTCAGTACTTCTCGGCAGGTGAGACATCGGTGGTCGAACTCACAGCCGAAGAGGTGAAGGTGGCGGAGACCATCAAGGTGAGCATGTGATGTCCTTACTATTTCTCTTACCTTGAAAAGCTGAAGCAGTTTGTACCATCAGTACTCAAAGAAGCAGAGATAGAACTTTATTTCCCTTTTCTTGTATTAGCTACACTAAGAAACCATCCCCAACATTTACATGTAGACATATTTTTTTACTCACATAAATAACCCAAGGCGGTTTTAGGTCAACGTGGGGATGTGGGGTAAAGCTGGAACAAGAGGATTAGGAGTGGAGTCATCCAGGGACTTCGGCTCTGCTATCTTCAAGGTCACCCTGGGGGTCATCTCCATTCCAGACAGCCAAGAAGGGCAAAAGGGCACAGGGAACTGTGTGAGGGAAGTTTTCCAAGGACCAGGACTGGAAAGCAGGTCACTTCGCTCATATTCATTAGCTAGGTGACAGGGTTGGTTTTTTTTTATTTTTTTGGAATTTATTTATTCATTTTTAGAGAGGGGGGAAGGGAGAAAGAGAGGGAAAGAAACATCAAAATGAGAAAGAAACATCGATCAGTTATTTCTCATACACTTTCCAACCTGGAACTGAACCTGCAGACCAGGTATGTGCCATGACCAGGAATTGAACCTGCTACCTTTCGCTTTGTGGGTTGGTGATCAACCAACTGATCCCCACAGGTCGAGGCTCGGGAACAGTCTTATGGCTGCATCTAACTTGAGACGCCGAGAAACGTAGTCAAGCCATATGTCCAAAACGAAGAAGAAATAGGTTTGGTGAGGAGCTAGCCAGTCTCTGCCAGGGTCTACATGGAACGTCCCTCATGAAAGTTCCCCTCTTTGTGCAGGTCATCTGGGCTGGAATTTTAAGCAACGTCCCTGTTATTGAAGACTCAACAGACTTCTTCAAATCCGGAGCGAGCTCCATGGACGTTGTCAGGTAGAAACACCACCATATTCACTCATGCCCCTCCGCTAGGGATTCTGACCGTGACTTTGAAAATTACACCTAAATCCTTTATTCCAAATGCTACTACTTTATCCTACCTGTCTACTGTATTTCTTTTCACCTTTTTTGGTTGGTTTGTTTCCATGGTCAGACACATATAATTGTTCCCTCCTCTTGGTTGCTTACCAAGAGTTGTTTTTGTATCTCCTATATACTCAGAGAAGAAACCCTTCTAATTGTTTGTTTCCCTTAAAAACGTGTCTCCATATTTCTTAGCTGATTTTCCTCCAATATGACATTGGAATTGGGCTGTTCCAATCAGGTATTTCCTACATAGTCTGATCCAGAAGGATACCTGACCTTGATTACACTTCCCACTAAAATCTTTTTTTGTTGTTCCCCCAAAGTACCCAGTAAAAATATATCTAGAATGAGGAGTGTCAGGCTACTGGTGAGAATAAAAATCAGCCCTGTAGTCAGAACTTCTCTACAGAGGTTCACAGGAAATAGAAAAGGCCAGAGTCCTGGAAAGCCCCTCTATGGCGTGAAGAGTGAACCAGGATCCTAATCCTGGACAGTGTTGCACAGGTGATTTTTTTCTTTGATACTCTGGCCATTCACTAAGTAAACACAGTAAAGAATTTTACTCCTTTTGGCCCTGGCTGGTGTGGCTCAGTGGACTGAGTGCCAGCCTGCAAACCAAAGGGTCACCAGTTTGATTCCCGGTCAGGACAGATGCCTGGGTTGTGAGCCACGTCCCCAGTAGGGGGTGCCTGAGAGGCAACCACACATTGATGTTTCTCCCCCCCTCTTTCTCCCTCCCTTCCCCTCTCTCTAAAATTGAATAAAATATTTTTTAAAATTTTTTTAAAGAATGTTACTCCTCTTGACAATCTTTCATATCCACAAAGTGAGTGTTCTTGATGAATATTCTATTTATTCTCTCATTTATTTAACAAAGTCTATTGAACACTTGCTGCATATCAGGAACAGTGTTTTGCACCGGGGACACAGTCTGCAGCAGCAGGGGTGTCTTTGTTTATGAAACTTTTTTATTTCAAGAATCAAATACAATCATCTCAAGAGCAAATATCATTATCAAAAGTCAAGAGTTTTGGTTCCTCTAAAAAAAATAAGTAAAGTAAATTTTAAAACAGTTTCGGTTCCTCAAATTACAGATTTCTCAGCTATGACTCACGACTGCCCAGAAACTTCTAACTTGCTCAACTAAAGATTTCAATATTGTACTGTTAGTACTATTTGTTTGCCAGCAAGCTACTCATCCATTCCTACTGATGCAGGATCATCCGTTTCCCGTTCGAGTGTCTGACTTACCATAATCATCTTATTTTACACTCCCAAGGTACCTAGTCTCTTTTAGGGAATAAGTGACTGAACACTATGGCAGGCTTTTCTATACTGCATCTAGTACACCAGTGCTATTCAAGAAATGTCAAATAACAGCTTTAATTTGAAAAAATTAAAATAATTTAATTTTTAGTCCAGTGAAAAAAGTCGAAGAATTAGAAAAGACTTCAAAAATTATATTGACCTATGGTTCTAATTAGCATCTATATTAGCTATGTAATACAAACAAATGTCTGTGTGTCTTACACGTAACATAGAGAAAATATTCTAAAATATGACTTGTATTTCTCATAATCTTTACAGTTAGGAAATTTCCTTTTTTAAAAAAATTGAATTGATTTTATTAGACCCTATTATCTTGCTTCTATTACAAGTGATTTAAATGTTTTTGCCTTGATATCTTTTCTTTTTAGGCATGTAGAAAGTTTTAAAAAATGCCACTGTCCTTCAAGACAGCTCTTTAATCTTTTCTCCCAGTCTTACCAATTTCTTTGGTTATCATAGAAGAGCTCACAGGAAGTAAATAAGCAGGCGACATAAGTCTTACTTCAAAGCAAAATATAATACTCCTTTAAGAAATGCAAGACACATGAGCTGGTTCTCATTTTCAGGCTGGTTGAAGAGATCAGACAGAAGTGTGGTGGGCTTCAGTTACAGAATGAAGATGTCTATATGGCCACCAAGTTTGCGGACTTCATCCAAAAAGTCGTGAGGAAACTGAGAGGAGAAGATCAGGAAGCAGAGCTAGTGGTGGATTATGTAAGTCTATGGTGTTTAAAATCTAAACCGTTTAAATCAGGGGTCCCCAACCCCCAGGCCACGCGGCAGGCCGGGAGCAGGCGGAGCTTCAGCTGTGTTTACAGCTGCTCCCCATCTCTCGAGTTGTCGCCTGAGCTCCGCCTCCCGTCAGATGGGTGGTGGGACTAGATTCTCATAGGACCACAAACCCTACTGTGACCCCGGCATGTGAGGGATTTGGGTTGCGTGCTCCTTATGAGAACCTGAGGCCTGACGACTGAGGCGGAGCTGAGACAGCGATGCTAGTGCTGGGGAGCAGCTACAAATACAGACTGTCACCCCCGATGGGACCATCTAGTTGCAGAAAAAAAAGCTCCAGGCTCCCACTGATTCTGAATTATGATGAGTTGCATAACTATTTCATTATGTACTATACTGTAATAATAATAGAAATAAAGTACACAATAAATGCAATGCAGTTGAGTCATCCCGAAATCATCCCTGCCTTCCCCCTTCCCCCCTGGTCTGTGGGAATATTATCTCCCATGAAACCAGTCCCTGGTGCCAAAAAGGTTGGAGACTGCTGATTTAAATCCCTATACCATAAACAAATACTGTCTTTTATCCACTTGTTTTTACACTTATAACTTTTAAAAAATAACAGTTGTGTAGCCCTGGCTGATGTGACTCAGTGAATTGAGTGCAGGCCTGTGAACCAAAGGGTCACCAGTTTGATTCACAGTCAGGGCACATGCCTAGGTTACAGGAAAGGCCCCCAGTAGGGGGCACATGAGAGGCAACCACACATTGATGTGTTCCTCTCTCCTTCGCTTCCCTTCTCTCTAAAAATAAATAAATAAAATCTTTTAAAAACCCCAACAGTTGTGTTGAGGCATAATTCAGATAGCATAAAATTCACCTTTATACAGTGTAGAATTCAGTGGTGTTTGGTATATTCAATTATGCAACCATCACCATCTGAGTACGGAAATTTTCATCACCCCCAGACAAAATCCTGCATCTACTGGCAATATTGTCTGCTCTCCTCCCCTGGCCTCTGGCCCCTGAAAACTAGTAATTTACTTCCTGTGTCTGTGTTTGCCTATCTAGATATTTCACATAAATGGAATTATAAATATGTGGCCCTTTGCCTCTGGCTTCTTTCACTTAGCATAATGCGTTCAAAGTTCATCCTTGTTGTACAGTACACTAACACTTCATCCCTTTATCTGGCCAAGTAATATTCCACTGTGTGAACACACTGTATTTTGTTTATCCACTCCTCAGTTCATATGCATTTGGTTTTTTCCTACATTTTGGCTATTATAAATTATATGGCTATGAAAATTCATGTATAAGGTTTTTGTGTGACCCTATTCCCTCAATTCTCATGGGTATGTATTAAGTAGAATTAATGAGTCATATGGTAACTCTATGTTTGACTTTCTGAGGAACTACCAAACTCTTTTCCAGAGAAACGACATCATTTTACAAACCCACTGGCAGTGTAGCAAGATTCAGTTCTCCAGGTCCTCACCAGTACTGGCTACTGTCTGTCTTTTCTGTTATAGCTGCCATCATGGGTATTTCATTATGTATTTCGCTTCCATTGTCCTAATGACTCGTGATAAGTGTCTTTTTCACGTGCTTATTGGCCATTCGTGTATCTTCTTTAAAGAAATGTCTATTCAAATCTTTGGCCCATTTTTAAATTGAGATATTTGTCTTTTTAATTTTGAATTGAAGAGGCCTTTCTATATTTGGGATACTAGACCCTTTCAGATATATGACTTATAAATAATTTTTCCCATTCCATGGGCATTCTTTTTATGTTTTTGATAGTGCCCTTTGACACACAAAAGTTAAAAAATTTAATTAAGTCTAATTTATCTGTTTCTAGATGACTTGTCTCATGTTTTTTTTGCTTCTCTAATCTGCCTTTACTGATTTCTTTTGTACTAAGTTGACATTGTCTAGTACACCAGTTTAATCCTTTATTGTTATTTTGACTGTGTATTTTTGGTTATTTTTTAGTGGTTGCCTTGAGGATTACAATGAACATTTCTGCTGAAGACGTTTTAATTCAGATTAATACCAATTTAATACCGATAGTATAGAAAAGCTTTGCTGTAATATAGCTCCGCTCCCTCCCCCATCATCTCTGCTACTATTGGCATACAAATTACATCTTTATATATTATAAGTTCACCAGCATAGTTTTATAATTATTGCTTTATGCAGTTGTCTTTTACATTTATTCTGACTTTTGTACGTACCTTCATCATTGCTCATTTTTTCTTCACGTAGATTTAAGTCACTGTCTAGTGTCCTATCATTTCAGACTGAAGGACACCTTTTAGTACTTTAAACAAAAATTTTTTAAAGATTTTTACTTATTTATCTTTAGAGGGGAAGGGAAGGAGAGAGGGAGAGAAATATCAATGTGTGGTTGCCTTTCTTGCATCTCTTGCTGGGAACTGGCCTCGCAACCCAGGCATGTGCCCTGACTGGGAATCAAACCACAATCCTCTGGTTCACAGCCCCAGGCTCAATCCACTGAGCTATACCAGCCAGGGCACCTTTTAATACTTTTTGAAGGGCGGTGTACTAGCAATAAATTCTCTCAGTTTTTGCTAATTTGGGAATGACTTAATTTCTTTGTTTTTGGAGGATATTTTTGCTATAAATTATGTTTTTGGTTGACAGTCTTTTTCTTTCAGCTCTTTGAATATGTCATCTAATTGCCTTTTGGTTTCTACAGTTTCTGGAACTAAGTCATCTGTTAATTTTATTGAGGATTTCTTTTATGTGATATGTTCCTTCTCTCTTTCAATTTTCAAGATTCTTTCTTTATCTTTTGAACATTTTATTATAATGCATCAAGAATAGATTTCTTCGAGTTTATACTATGTGGAGTTGTTGAGTTTCTTAAATGTGCATATTATTATTTTCCATGAAATCTGGGATATTTTCAGACATTATTTCTTCAAATATTATTTCTGCCCCTTTTACCTTCTCCTCTCCTTCTGGGACTCCCATGATGCACGTGTTGGGACATTTTTTATGGTGTCCCATGGGCCTCTGAGGCTCTGTTCATTTTTCTTTATTCTTTTTCCTTTCTGTTTTTTAGACTGGATATCTCTATTGACCTATTGTCTAGTTTTATTTTCTTTTTTGAAATTTTTATTTATTGATATGAGAGAGAAAGAGAGAGAGAGATCAACTTGTAGTTCCACTTATGCATGCATTCATTGGTTGCTTCTTCTGTGTGCCCTGACCAGGGATTGAACCTTCAGCCTTGGTATGTTGGGACAACGTTCTACCCAGCTCAGCCACCCAGCCAAGACCTGTTATCTAATTTTCTAATTCTTTCTTCTGCTGGCTTGACTCTACTGTTGAGCGCCTTTAGTGAATTTTTAAATTTCAGTTATTGCAATTTTCAACTCCAAAATTTCTATTTGGTTCTTTTTAAAAAAATCTTAGCTCTTTACTGATAGTCCTTATTTGGTAAGACATCATTCATTAGCCTTCCTTCAATTTTTTAAAAATATCATTTTCTTTAACACTTTGAACATATTTTTAGAAGCTTGTTTAAAATTTTGTCTAATAAATGCAATATTTCATTTTCTACAAGGCCGGTTTTCATTGACTGCTCCCCCACCCACCTCTGCCATGTATGGGCCTTTCTTTCCTGTTTCTGCATATCTTATCATCTTTTGTTGAAAACTAGCCATTTTAAATAATAAAGTGGCCACTCTGGAAATCAGCTCCCTCCCCCCAAACCCTGACACACACACATTGTCACAGAGATTGTTGTCCTTGCTGGTGGTGGTTGTTGTTGCTTTTTCAGTGGTTTGTCATTTTTTTTGGACTAATCCTGTAAAGCCTGTGGTCTGTTGCTTGTCACCAGTGAAGTCTCTACTCAGTTAACTTCATAATCAGCTAATGATTGGACATAGATTTCTTTCAATTTCCTTAACCAATAAGTCTTCAAGCCTCACCTGAGGGACTCTGTGTGTAGGAGTATAGCTGTAAGGCTCCAGCAGGTGGTTCGCAACTCTGCCTGTCTTTACATACTTCCTGCTTGCACAGGATATCAGGTCAGCTATAGGTAAAAGATGAGGGCTTTCTCAGGTCTTTCCTGGTCACATATTACTGTCCTTCCAGGAATGTGTCAGAATGTCTTAAAGCTTCCTATGGATATCTCATGCCTGTTTTTCCTTTTACGTTCTTTGACCACCCATCTGTTAGCTTCATTTGGTGTTGCTGCCTCGGGCAGCTGCCATGTTAAGCAATTGCCACTGATTATTTTGGACAAATGCCCTGGGCACAAGGCTGTTCATGCACAGTGAGCTCTAAGTCAAGTCAAATAAAGACAGGCCCTGAGAATGAAGCTGTTTAGGGAGCTTCTGGGCTAAATAGTAATAACTCTCTGAGGATGAAGCTTTTGGAGAGTTCCAGACCCATTTCCCCCTCCAGTGGCCAATAGGCTGCTGATTTTCACGCTACCACAGTTGCAAGGATATTGGTTTTCAAGTCACTGCAGAGCTGTCAAGAAAGAGATGGGACTAGAGAAACTTAACATGCCACACAAATCACTGTTCTTAGAAAAATTCAGCTGTTTTTTTTTTTTAGTAAATAGATTTTTACAAGCCTTTGATTTCTTTCCTGAGTTCTGAGAAAAATAAGTTTGACCATATTTTCTAATGTTCTCAATGCTTTTATAAAGGAGCGGATTTTCAGAGGTCTCTAACTATTCCAAAAGTACTTCTTATCATTTTTAAAAAAATAAAAGTTACGTTGCCTTGGCTGGTGTAGCTCAGTGGATTGAGTGTTGGCCTGTGAACCGAAGCGTCATCAGTTCGATTCCCAGTCAGGGCACATGCCTGGGTTGTGGGCCAGGTGCCCAGTTGGGGGTGCGCAAGAGGCAACTACCTGATCAATGTTTCTCTCACAGATCATTGATTCTCTTCCTTTCTTTCTCTCTCTGTATCCCCCTCTCTAAAAATAAATAAATAAAATCTTTAAAATAAATCTTCCCTATATGTTAAAAAATACATACATAAAACTTAGGTAAATTTGGAAAACAGTTCAGCATCATCTGGTTAAGGACATTGATTTTGGACTCAGACTAACCTGGGTTTAAATTCAAGTACTAGCTGTTTGACCTTCTCTAAGCTTCAGTTTCCTCGGATGTGAAATGGGACAATGATAAAACCCACCTGATGGGATTGTTGAGAGAATGCAATGTAAATATAATGCATGTAAAACACTTAGCATAGTCCCTGAACGATCACTTTAGAAAACTGGACTACGTGCAAGGACCGAAGACATTGATTCAGATGACGTTTCCTTCAGGATATCCTACATAAACACAATGTAGGCAACACATACGAAGAGAGAGGAAATGAAAATGGGGAAGAACATAAGAAGAAAACTCAAAATGGCAGCCGCGTAAAAGGAAACTTACTGATAAAGGCAATTTCTTGGCTTTACATGGAAGCAGTGGCTGAACTCCACACATGTTGCCACTAGATGGTGGTGTTTCCATCATCTGGAGGTCTTTTGACTTCTTTCATCAGTTGTCCAGAAGAAAATCACGTCTTTGTAAAGGCCCAGCCTCCAGAGCCTCAGTCTTCACAGATGCCGACCTCCTGCCTCAGAAGCCAACCTGCACATCCTGAGGCCCAGATCTTGTATCTGCTTCTGAACAGCAGGAATTCAAATCCTATTGACTTCACTTCTCTTTCTGCATTAGTGACAAGTTCCTTTTTGTTCCTTTTTTTCTGTTGTTGTACCATTTTCACCCCACCACACCCCTCATGCCCCACCCATCCCCACCTCCCTCCCTTGACTCTACCTCCTTCATATGTCCTTTATACATGTTCCTTGATGGCCATATTATCCCCTATTATCCTTCTCCCCACTTCTCTCTGGTTACTGTCAGTTTGTTCTTTATTTCAACGTCTCTGGTCGTATTTTGCTTGCTTGTTTGTTTTGTTGATTAGGTCCCACTTATAGGTGAGATCATATGGTATTTGTCTTTCACCACCTGGCTTATTTCACTTAGAGTATGCTCTCCAGTTCCATCCAAGCTGTTGTAAAGGGTAGGAGCTCCTTCTTTCTTTCTTCTGCTTAGTATTCCATTGTGTAAATGCACCACCATTTTTTGATCCACTCATTTACTGATGGGCACTTATGGGCATAAGAACAGATACACAGACCAATGGAACAGAATAGAGAGCCCAAAAATAAACTCAAGTCTCTATGGTCAATTAATATTCAACAAAGGGGGAAGAAGCATAAAATGGAGTAAAAATAGCCTCTTCAACAAATGCTGTTGGGAGATCTGGACAGCTACATGCAAAAAAGTGAACCAGCTTCTTTATTGCTTATTCAGTATCAAACGGATAAGCACAGAAATCCATTGAATCCATTAACATAATTCTCTCTTCCAGGTTTCAAAGGAGGTCAACGAAATGACAGTAAAAATGCCCTATCAGTGTTTCATAAACGGACAGTTCACAGATGCTGAGGATGGAAAGACTTATGACACTATCAACCCAACAGACGGCTCTGTGAGTAACGGCCCAGTGAGCACGGTGACCAGAGGTCATTGAGATTTGGTTTATAGCACAGTGGTAAAACAGACAGTCTCAAGAATTACTTTATTCTCTCACTCTGCCTCCGAGCACTCGATACAAATGTGCTTCATGCATTCCTTTCGGCCACTCAATTCTGGTACTGGCTGTTAACTATAGTAACCGACTTCAGAGAATGCATATGTATGGCAAATTTAGACAGGTATGTGTACACATCAGAGGCACGCCTACACATAAAAGCTGTATGTGGGGGGAAATTTGCAAGCCCATGAAAAGAAACTCAGCTTCCCTAGACACTGGAGGAAATCGGTCCAGTTTTCCTAAATGTGTCTTTCCATAATGCAGCATGAGACAAGAAGCACCAAATTTCAGGCTTATAATTTTCACGTTGAAATAATTCCTCTTTGTTTGTTACCAGAGGTATTGGTTTTCCATCATAAAATTCTCTGGATTTATAATGTAATGTTAAGTCTAAGGAGCATATTCATGTATCTTGCTATAAAATCAACTTTAACCTATTTCTACTCACCTTTAAATAGACAATATGCAAAGTATCCTATGCGTCTCTGGTGGATGTTGATAAAGCGGTAGCAGCAGCCAAAGATGCCTTTGAGAATGGGGAGTGGGGAAGAATGAACGCGCGAGAAAGAGGAAGGTTGATGTACAGGTCAGTTTCCCTAAAACGCAAGTCTGTGAACTTTGATATTGACTAACATTGCCAAGGTTTAAAATACTTCTTCAAAACATTCTAATACATACCTATTATAGAAACTGTCTTCTGTTACTTACATCATATGAAATTTCATATAAATGAGTTCCTGACTTGTATTATTGCTTGTATCAGTCAAAGTCCCAGTAAGAAATGAAGTGGTTTTTTAAAAAGATTTTATTTATTTATTTTTAGAGAAAGGGGAAGAGAGGGAGAGGAACATCAATGTGTGAGAGATACATCGATCGGTTACCTCTCACACACCTTGAACTGGGGACCTGGCCTGCAACCCAGGCATGTGCCCTGACTGGGAATTGAACCAGTGACTTTTTGGTTTGTAGGCCCACACTCAATCCACCGAGTCACACCAGCCAGGGTGGAAATGAAGTTCAATAAATGACTATTTACCAAGATGTGGGCAAGATCAAAAGGGAAAATGAAGTTCCCAGGGTTAGCAACAGGGAGCAGCTACCATTACTCAAAGGTCCAAAGGGGCAGAGGAAGAGGCTGTTATAACATCTGGCAAAGTCTAAAGCTATAGGAGACGACCATGCTATGGTGGCTTTTGGTTGGGGTGGGGGACACAGCAGCATCTCAACCCCAGCCCATCTGTGAGGCAGCCGGGGGTTCAGATCCCCAACCAATTTGCTTCTCACTCAGGGGTCTTCTGGGGACGCCACCCACCGGCCTGTCAGTGGCCCAGCCCAGTGAAAGGGCAGGGAAGCCAGGGGACGAAGTCTATGAAGGTCATTTTCCCAGTGACAGAGCAGGACAGAGAGTGAAAAACAGCAACAAATGGAGACTATGCAGCACCCTGTTGTTTTCAAAGACAAATCCTAAATCTCCTTTAAGTGGAGGAAACAAGCAAGGAAGGAGAAGACTAAGGCCTGGAAAGCGTATTACACATTTGATAACTGAGTGTGTCAAGAAAAATTCAATTCTATCATAAATTAAGTTTTCTCCTAACTGCAGCCAAATAACTGACCTTGGGCAAAAGATCTCTTAGAGCAGGATCTGGAGGAAACACTGGGGTGGGGGGATTTCACGCCGGGCTTTGGAACGGTCCAAAGACGGCAGCTCAGAGAACTACGAAAGGAAAACATGTAGCAAAGGTGAGAAAAAAGATGAATTTTGACCCTTTCATAGTCATTACATCGTCCTGCACTTGTCTTCCCACAGGAACTGGACACCAAACAGAAATCTGTCGTGGTGTGTGTCGTTCATTTTGTCTGTTTGTATCACGTCCTCTTCAGCCAGTGGTCGGCGCGGAGGTATTTCTGCACCGGCCACAGATTCTCCCAGGCTGGGGGCCGCGCTCCAGCATCTCCCCGTATACTCGAGGGCTATCCGCATGCGCACTGTTTCCTGACATTGATCTCCGCGGACAGCCTCCATCACTCTCCTATTTCTCACCCACTTAGGAGGTGAATCGTGCAGGCTTCCAACTCCTCTGCTTCTCTCGAAACTCTTGAAACAAATTGTTTACAACTTTATTTGTTTAATGTCTGTCTTCCCATATTCTCCATGACACAGTCCATTCGTGTTCACCTCTGAATTCTCTGCCCTTAGCACGGTGCCCTGTAGACAGAGGGGCTGAATTAATATTTGTTGGGTGGATTTCTCTCACTGACCACACAGACTTGCAGACCTGCTGGAAGAGAACCAAGAAGAGCTGGCAACCATTGAAGCCCTCGATTCAGGCGCCGTCTACACCTTGGCTCTGAAGACTCACATTGGAATGTCTGTGCAAACATTCAGGTATTTTGCTGGCTGGTGCGACAAAATCCAGGTAGGTGCATGTGTGGTTTGTCTCCATGCAGATCATTCCAAAAGGGAAAGGGTCGAACATTTACTGGTTTTTAAAGACACTGTGTCGGAGCCTCCCCTTATGTAGCAGGTTTTCTCACCTAATCCTCACAGTGGTCATCTGAGACCTACCATCTCTTATTACAGGTGAGGAAATGGAGGCTTGAAGACAGTGAATGAATTACAATGGGGTCATTCACTGAATGGTAATATAGTAAACCACAGAGCTAGGATTTGAACTCCAGGTTTTTCTGAATTAAAGTCCAGTGATATGGTTTGTACTTTAACTGTAATTTCTCCTGAGGGCATCTAATCTGCTGGACGTACAGGGAGAAGCCGGGTACCATGGAGGGATTGCAAACTCAAATGCCTACAGAGGTCAGAGAGCGAACACAGATGGGCTAAGCAGTCTGGGTGTAAGAAAAAAAGTTAAGACATGAGTACAATATGTATTTCATTTATAGTAAAAGACTATAAAAAATAAATGGCACACGTATGATGACAAATGGCAACCATACTTGCCCTTGGCATTGGGGCTGCAAAAGGGAAAGGTCAAACTTACATTAAACAACAGAATTCATGCCACTCACAGACTCATGATAATCACTGCAGTGCCAGCCATCATGGCCACATTCCCAGCATTGAGTAAAAAGGAAATGCAGAAGGGGAGAAACATAAAAGGAATTTAAAAAGCATTCCCACCCCTCCCTTCCAATGCCTTGGGTGGCTGCCCAGACCCTCCTGGAGCTTACAGATAATATCACAGAAGGTATATGCCTTATATTATGTTTCCAGTCCCAAGCACATCTGGCCCCAAGGGTTCTGGATAAGAGAGTGTACAATTATGTGTTTGAGTAACAACAATAATATTTTACGTGGCAAACAAATATATAGCTTCACTAAGGATTACTATTATGATTCAGTTGTGGTTGAGTTTGCCTACATATACGAGAGAAGCCAACTTAAGAAGTTTGTTTTTATCTCAATTTCAAGGAGTCTGAAGGCAGGCCATCAGGTCTAGTATGTGAGATGAAGTTTCTCTCTCTCTCTCTCTGCCAGGCCAGCTTAGTACCATGTGATCTGTACTCTTGAGGCTGTCTCATGGTCTCATGATAATCACTGCGGTGCCAGCCATTTCAGCAACATTCTGAGCAGAGAGAAGGAAAAAGTGGGAGTGGGGGAGAGGGTAAAAGGCACTGGTTGGAGCCGAGTCATTCCCCTCCCAATGCCTTGTGCTTACATCTTCCACTGACCCTTCCTATCTGCTATGAAAACTGGGAGACGGCTTTTTTTATCTGGGCATATTGCCATCCCCTCCATTAAAGGTAGAGTTTCTGTTATTAAGGACAGAGGAGAGAATGAATATTGAGCAGGCAATTAACATTCTCTGCCATGCTAAGAAATTGGACTGGAGGTGAATAAATCAAAAGTATTTTTATTCTCCAGTGATTCAGTTCTTTCAATAAAGAAGTAGCTCCTTTCTTGGTGTGGATATTATTTCTTATAAACTGAACGCCACCATTTCATATCAGGTAGGAAAAACAAGAGGCAGAACATTCTTTGAGATTAAAGAAAAAAATTAAACTGCCTATAATATCCTCAAATCTCTAACCTATTTTGAGCAGATTAAATTCACTCATTTCAAAGATGGATCCATTTCCTCTTATACACTCCTGTTGCCTCTCATTGGCACCTCGCCCAAGACCCAGCCCTGCAACTCAGGCATGTGCTCTGACTGGGAATCAAACCAGCAACCTTGTGCTTTATGGACTGATGCCCAGCCCACTGAGCCACACTGATCAGGGCCAACCTTTTTGCTTTTTAGGGTTCTACAATTCCCATCAACCAGGCCCGTCCAAATCGCAATCTGACCTTCACCAAGAAGGAACCACTTGGGTAAGACAAGGGAAGCATCTCTGAGTGACTTGTGTTAGTCTGAGACAACTAAGGATGTCGTCTTTCTTCCTCGCAGTGTCTGTGCCATTATCATCCCCTGGAACTACCCACTGATGATGCTGGCTTGGAAGAGCGCTGCCTGTTTGGCAGCAGGCAACACCTTAGTGCTCAAGCCAGCGCAGGTAAGACACGAGGGAGGGGCCGGGTGCAACCTCTCCTCCTCCTCTCCAATTCACTTAAAATCAGAGACATACATGCTTTGCACTGTTTTGCCGCTTTGCTGTAAGTCTGAAATTATGTGAAAAAGAAAAGAAAAAACTCTAGTGCAGCCATAGAGGAAAAGTTGGGTATTTGATCTAAAGGACAGGACGAAGTCTGAAGGTCATTGCTGTCTGCTTCTGCTCAGGTCACGCCCTTGAGTGCTTTGAAGTTCGCAGAGCTCTCTGTTAAAGCAGGTTTTCCAAAGGGGGTAATCAACATCATCCCAGGCTCAGGTATGGACCTGCTTCACCACGGTTAATGAATGGTACAGGGGCAGCTGAGGGGCTGTTTTCCCACTCCAGACAGTCCTGAATTGTAACTACGCATTAAAACTAAAGACAGTCTACCGAACAGTTAACTTAAGGATATACTTCCATGCACTAAAGTCTTAAAATGGAAATGTTACGGTGCCTGAGTAGGGCGGGAGGGACGGAAATTGTATGGCAGTGCAAAACTACCCTGAGGTGGCCTGTTTCAATTTTTAAAGCCTATTTTGGAAGATTAAGAAAAAAAAAAACAAGCTTACCCATCTTTTAGGGAGGATGGGAGTTGCATAAAAGATATTTAGAATTTTGTCAGTTTATAATTAATACAGAAAAAGTAAAACCAAGATTTCAATGAGAGCTTAGCAATCTCCCTCAAGGAATTCAAAGATGCCCTGGCCATCAGAACTTGACCCGTATTTGAAATTGTGTTTGATTCCCTGACTCTACAGGAGGCGTGGCCGGACAACGCCTTTCTGAACACCCCGATGTCCGCAAACTTGGCTTCACTGGTTCCACTCCTATAGGCAAACAGATCATGAAGAGGTATTCATTTGAATATGTAGATTTACTGCAGACCCTGTCAAACCAGGTTTTGGGTTTAGCTTTTGCTTCTTTGAATAGGGGCTTGTGGAGGGAGAAAAATCACATCAGATTTAGACGAGAAATCTCCTACTTATCACTACAGGGTATTGAAGTGTTTGAATATAATAAAACCCTTTCCAAAGTGTAAAGCCCACCATCAATTAAAATAGAGCCATGTTGAGATTCCTACACCCCACTGGTGAGTTTAACAACCCAGCACAAACATTTGCTGTGCTAACTCTGTGACCAGAACTGTGTTTTGGAGCATAAGGAAGAACCCAAAAAGACACGTCGATGACAAATGTGGGTTTTGAATAAAATGAATTTCTAAAAAGCTGTAACAGTACTTTTTAGAAAGTTACAGGTACTTTAAATGTCCAAAAGCAGGCAGTGGTTAAAGTATGTCAACATAAAGGAATACTGTGCGGTCGTGTCCACGGGGCATTTTAATAACATTGAAAAGTGTTGTTAAAATGGTAAGTGGAAAAGAAAATAAGGTGTAAAACTGTATATATTGGGCGATTCCCAACTATGTTAAATAAGGCACAGGCTGTGGTTGGATACAGACCAGAAATAACTACATCGAAATGATAAAAACAATGGTTAGCGAGCCATGGAATTGTGGGTTTCTTCTCTTTGTGCATTTCTTTAAATTTAAAAAAATGTTTTAAATGATGCTTTTGTCAGAAAAGGACAGTAAGCCATTACTTACAAAAATCTGTATTTTCCCCCAGTGTTCCAGTAATCTGGTTTGAGGCTAAATTCTTTGCCAGGCCTTTATATAACCAAGCTTCTTATACCTAAAAAAATCTCAGTTTACCTATGAGGATCTCTTATCATTTACCACAGAATTTAAAACAAAACTTTTTTATCACGGAAAATATCTAATATAGACAATGCACGCAGAATAGCATAACAAATCCTCATGTGCCCACCACCTAGTTTCAACAATTTTCACCATTCTACCACTCATACTTTGTTTTTGTATAACTTTCTGAGTATTTCTAAGGCTCAATTGTTTTCTTTTTGTTTAAACAAAAGATTTTATTCATTTATTATTTTTTTAGAGAGAGGGGAAGGGAGAGGGAGAGAAACCTCAGTGTACGTTTGCTTCTCATTTGCCCCTCACTGGGGACCTGACCTGCAATCAGGCATGTGCTCTGACCAGTAATCAAACTGGCAACCCTTTGGTTTGCAGGCTGGAACTCAATCCACTGAGCCACACCAGCCAGGGCTCAATTATGTTTTCTATATCAAGTGGCAATTATGGTAAGGAGAGAGACAGACAGAAAGGCAGAGGGGGAGACTAAATGTTCATTTCCCATTTATTTTTCTCTAGTTGTGCTGTGAGCAACTTGAAGAAAGTTTCCCTTGAACTTGGTGGCAAATCCCCGCTTATAATATTCAATGACTGTGAACTTGACAAAGCTGTGCGAATGGTAAGAGTATGTCGCATCCAACTAAATAGGTGCCTACTTCTAAAACGTATTGCAATAAAATAAAACAAAAAAAAAAAACAAACAAAAAAGACATCTTACCTCCTTGCTCATTAGAAATCTTAAAGTGAGAGTCAGTCTTATCTAGTCATATATAGAAATTATCCTCTTTGGGCTTAGATTTAAGAGTACTCAGAACACTTAGTTTTTTTTAAATAACGTCTTTATAATTTGTCTCATTAAGGTGTTTTTAAACCTTGGAAGTCGGGGAGTCTTTCCAACATTTATGATTTATACAAACTGACATAGAGATCTCAAAAGCAAAATTTGGATTTATAGAACAATCTAGGTTTTCTTGCAACACAAAATTTGTGTTTGGTGGCATGTCCTTACTTTGACACACTTTTTTAAAGTGCTCATGGGCCAAAACGGGGAGAGGACCAACCCCCCTGAAAGCACACTAGGTCAAAACGGAGTAGTTCCTGCCGCTCTCATCACTGAGCAGGCCGGGGGATCTTGCTTTTCTGCAACCTCTCCTGCTGCCTGCTGCCTTCCGGTAGCATCAGAGTCTCAGCACCTGCACTTTTCTGACAAACCCAACTTCCCAAGTGACCTTAACAATCCCTTCTCCTCTGCTGCCCAAGGGCATGGGAGCTGTGTTTTTCAACAAAGGAGAGAACTGCATTGCGGCAGGGCGGCTGTTTGTGGAAGAATCCATCCACGATGAATTCGTGACCAGAGTGGTAAGCCTCCTCCTGCACACTGGCTCCCTCAGTCCGGCAGGAATTGCTCCGACTTGAAAAGCACTTCTGAGACTTGGTGAATTTTAGGTGTGATAATAGTCCTGTGGTTCTATTTTAAAAAAACAACAACACAGTCCTTATCGTTGAGAGCTACTTTTTGACATATTTATAGGTTCAATTATACGATGTCTAGACTTGGCTTCCCTCCTGCTCTCCGGGAGGGGAGGAACTGAGTCGGGGAGTACATTGGCCATGAATCGGTCATTGTTGAAGTTGGGTGATGGGTATATGGAGTTTTATTATATTATTTGTCTACTTTTATATGTGTTTATAATTTTTCATAGTAAAAAGTTATAGGTCTGTGTAAAAAAAACCCTTAAGAGCTGTTGTGGTTATAGCTTGCTCTGCATTTATGGTATATTAAACCCTGACACCGCAGGCTTTTCTAAGCCCCTACATTGGAATTGACTACACACTGCCAGATCCTTACAAATCCTCACTGTATAGTTAACAGGACAGATATCATTTCCTCCACTAAGATAGATGAGAGACAGACAAACAGACAGACAGATACCTCCTATAGATTGGTCACGATTCTATAAATATGGTACTAAAAGCTATTTACAGAGCTATTAAGATGAATTCCATGACTAAAATAAACCCTAAACTATGCTATATCATTACGATGGTAATAGTAATTATGAGTTGTTTATATTGGAAAAACAAGCACCCAGCGTTTTTTCAGAGGCAGTTCCCTCACCACCGCCACCCCCCAGCCCGCCCCAAGAGGCAAACATTCTTTCTTTATGAGAGTAAAGAACAAGGAAGTCAGAGGGAGAGGCAGGCGGTGGGCAGTGGCTGTCTCCTAAATAGCCATGTAATTCAATTCTGTGCCTCCGTAAAACAGTTACAGGACCACGTGTCGTGGGTTCTCACAACTCTAACCTGTTGAATTCAAATGCTGAGACCAACAATGTTGAAGATTTACTGTATCAATTTTGTACTCATGAGACATATTCATTCAGTTGTTCAACAGGTACTTTTCTGAGGGATTATTGCCAGGCCTACGTTCAAATTCATGGGCCTGTGGGGTCAGGGTTACTCCCATTCTTTCTTCTTACTAGACTGGGACTTCACATGTGAAAATGCAGAAATAGGTTAAGATAACTGAGATGAACAAGAAGTGATTACGAAGACATGTCCGTGATGAACATTGTTCAATAAAGATGGTTTCTCATCAGAACATTCTAGCAATTTCTCTGGCATGGCTGTGCCATGAGAATATCCCCAGGGCAGTCTATCACACTGAGGACAGGAAAATATATAACAGCGTGGCCACTAGAAATTCTTTTGTCATGAAGAGGAAAAGCACGCTGTCTTAACAAAAATCCCAGAACATTGGATTTGCTGTTATCACAGATTAACATTCAGGATAATTTTCAAATAGCATCTGTAGTTTATGTCCTGTTAGAATCAGTGGTAAAGAGTGGAGGCTTTCAAGTCAGAAAACTACAATATTGGGTGGTTGTGCCCTGGGTCAAGTCGCCTCTCTAAGCCTCCGTTTCTTCGTCTGTAAGATGGAAATAATAAAGTCCATCTCTAGTGCTGCTTTGAAGACTAAATGACCACACATCTTTCGACAGCTTAGTGTAACACCCACCATGCAGTAGAAGCTCGGTCCAGGGCGTCCATTATTCTTATTAATAGTCTACTGTGTTTTGTGAACTGGGTAACATACAGGTGGAGGAAATTAAAAAGATGAAAATTGGTGACCCGCTTGATAGATCTACTGACCACGGGCCCCAAAACCATAAGGCCCATCTGGAGAAGCTTCTGCAGTACTGTGAAGCGGGAGTGAAGGAGGGCGCCACCCTGGTGTACGGGGGACGGCAAGTTCCGAGGCCAGGTAAGACCACCTCCAGGGGTACTGGGCTGGCCGAACAGTCCATATGGTTTTGTGCGTAAAATAAAAGACACGTATTTTATTTCCACCAGTAACTTTGTTGATTCGGATATTTTGAGTATGTTGGCTAACTCCTGCTGTTCAAGCTTCCAGTGGGTAGAGGCCAGGGGCATTGCTAAACATCTCCCAGTGCATAAGACGGCCCCACAGCAAAGAATTATTTGGCCACAATGTCAACAGGACCAAGAAACTTTACAAACCAGTTTTGACATGTTCCATCAGCCATAAAACCTCTGTACCTTCACTGCCCAAATCTTTTTTTTGGTATTTTGATTGCATTTTTACCTTTCTTGAAATAGTGAAGCATAATACACCAAAAATGTTGTGTATTTTCTTCTATCTTCAATATTAAAATGGCTGCACAGAAATTCACCAATTTTGATAACTTTTTTTAAATGCACACTGATATGACAGCCATCACAATCCAATCTAACAAAATTGTTTCAAATGAAGTGAAAGACAACTGAGCACCACTAGAGCCATCATAGGGAAAAATGTGATGGACTTCCTGACCAAGTCAGTGTAAGGGGCGCCTGGCTTCTTAAATTGGACCAGATGGTAACAATCTTTACAGCAACACCAGCTTGCCTCGAAAGCAGAAGAATCAATTTCTAGATCCTGCTTGGCCACTAATAAGCTGTGGTACCTTGGACAACACAATTTCTCTGAGCCTCCCATGTAAAATGGGATAAAATGTGCATACACTGTTTTCCTAGGCTGTGAAAATCCAATCGCAGAATAGATAAGACAGGCCCTTAGCTGCACTGTAAACAGGTGTACCAGATAACTGTGTTACTCAGGGGCCGCTGGTCTTTCTTTCTGGCACTGAGAGATTTAATCTTAGCCAGCATAGCATGGAAAGATTCGTTCCTCTTGTCTAAACTAGTACCTATTACTGAGATAGTGAGTGGCTCGTTGTCATGATACCAAAAAGGAGAAAAAGACAAACAACTACAAAAACTCAGTTTTGACTCCTGTAGGTGAATTGTGCACCAATACCATACTCTGAAAATTGGTAATTAGAAGGGGAAAAAAATCAACACTTACTCTGTGTTTCTGTATGAACTGAATTTCTGGATAACTGAGTAGCTGATAAAGGAGACTTCTTTTCCCACCCACAGAGGAATCCCTGCTAACTAATCTAGGGGGAAAAAAATGACAGAATAGAAAAAATCACCAGTTTGCAATCCCCACTTGAATGAAATAATTGATTCAGGCAATGATCATCAGGGAGGCTAAATGAGGAGGTAAAAAGTTGATGGGGGCCTGAGTATTTGTAAGGTGCCACAGCGTCGCCCCCCCAGATTGCTTGCCAGTCACAAGAAGAAAAGCACAGTGTTACAATGGAGGGTCAGGTTGCCACCACTCAGAACCCCTTAGAACCACTCAGCACCAAATGGCATCAGCGAGAGCAGGACAACTGGATGTAAGGTGTCTCCTGTGGGATGCAAAGGGTAACACACAGCATCGTCTGCAGTGTTCCTGCCAAAAGTGTTTAAACGGAACCTAATCATGCCTTTAGGTCAATTTTCCATTTGCAGGGGATAGAAGAACACATTAAATATCATGCCAAAGAATCAATGTCAAATCTAAAAATGCAAGATATGAGGTCTGTCCAGGAGGTACCAGCCACGTACTATGAAAAATGGAGACATTTATTGAAGATACAATATACAAAAAACATTGTACACAGGACAGTGACACCTCAGTCCCCTTCAAAGCAGGCACCTTGGGGCCTCACCCAGTTCTCCCAGGTGCCATCAGCTGCCCCATCACATTTTCCTCAGTCTCACTGATGGTCTGAAATCTCTCCCCTTTCAAAGGTGATTTTAGTTTTTTGAAAAGCCCAAAGTCGAAGGGCACAAAATCTGGGCTCAGTCACATGGGTGATTTGATGTTTCGCCAAAAAAACTCCATACGAGACAGTGGGCATATTGTTGTGATGAAGCTGCCATATCACCAGTTGCCCACAGCTGCGGCCGTCTGAATCATCTGAATAGTTTCTGCAGAGGAATGTTCAAGCTTAATGTAAAATTTGATGCAGATTCATTGCTCTACTCACTCTGTCATTTTGAATGTGACAGCCACACAGTACACATGGTCACTCAATGGTGTCTACCACCCCCACTGACTAGTACAGTGAAGTTGTCATTGTTCACACATGTGCATTCTAGTCCACTCTTTTTGGCTGCCAGGTGACATCGATGTTGCACTTTCTCATTATCTTAACAATAGTTGGACTTTTTTGGACAGACCTCATATTGTACAGGACAAGTGATTCAGTCTGTTTAACACACTGATGGCATGAAAAATAAAGGGCAGGGATAAGGGGGAAACATTCTAGATTAAAGGATATTTAAAGCTCTGGCTGGGTAGCTCAGTTAGTTAGAACATTATCCTGATACAACAAGGTTGTGGGTTCAATCTCTGGTCATAGCACATAAAAGAAGCAACCAATGAATAACACATAAATGAGTGGAACAAATCAATGTTTCTCTCTCTCTCTAAAAAATAAATAAATAGGTATCAAAAAATAAGAATATAGTAATTAAGACAGTTTAGTATCTGTTTAGAGATAAGTAAATTAAATGGCAAAAATGGTGAACTTTGAAGAAGATTCATAAATATATGGAAGCTTAACTTATGACAGAACTGGCTTTGAATACGAGCGGGGAAAACATGGGGAATTTAATAGTGCTGCCAGGACAATTGACTTTGAGAAAAATGAAATGTTGAAAAGCTGTATACTAAAAATATGTGAATTTCAACCTCACACTGCACACACACACAGATAATAAATAGAGATATAGATAACACTTAAGAGATCTAACAACCAAATGTAATGTGTAGAACTTAAATCCTGAATCGAACCCATCAGCTGTTACAAGGTCATTCTAGACAATCAGAAATTAAAGTATAATTAAGAATCAGGAATTACCATAAATTTGTTAGGTGTGATCATGTATTGTGGCATGTATGAACATGTCCTTATTTTTCCAGATTTGTGCAGAAATACTTTCAGAGGTCAAAGTTGTAATCGCTGGAATTTTCTTTAAAATATTTCAGCATGGAAGAATAACTCAAATATAGCAAAACATGAACAAATGTTTGTTTTACTATTCATGGTACTATTTTCTCCACTTTTACATATATTTGAAAATTTCGTAATAAATATCTAAGAACCATAGGAAAATGAAGGTCTTCTTGGCTTTACTGACCCAGAAGAAAAAGTGTAATGTCATTAAATGAGAACTGCGTTGAAAATTACCCTATCATTGATGTTCATTTCCTCCGTTTTTCAAATAGGCTTTTTTATGGCACCGACTGTCTTCACAGATGTGGAAGACCACATGTACCTTGCCAAAGAAGAATCCTTTGGGCCTATTATGGTCATTTCTAAATTCCAAAATGGGTATGTTCTTCAGGCACAGTTTAATGAGTTTTGACTGGATAAGTCTTTTCCCTTCTGCCATTGAGCTACATAAAGAGGGTAAAATCAGTGAACATGTCATTCTCTACCATAAGAATAGTTCACTTAAATAATTAGAAGAGAGGACTAATTAATGTAGATTGAAATGTATTTTTGCTTCTTAGCTTAAAATAATGGTAGCATGGGATTTTAGGTGACTAAATTTTAGTTTTTGTACAGTCAATATTTGAAATGTCTCTGGAACAAGATAAATAACTGAGAATAGCAGAACTAGTTTTTGCATTTATATTCCTAGGAAAGCAGCATCTGCGAAATCTGGTTTTCTCTAAGAAAGAGTGTTTGCTGCCTTCCTAGGGGATTATGGCCCCCCAAAGCCTAATACTCAACTTTTTATAGAAACATCCACGATCACTGTGCAATCAACTGTAAATGATATACTGGTTTGTTACAGCACAAAAAACTTTCCAAAGTAGTCATCATATCACAGAAGGCCATGTGGTAACTAAGTTCATATAAGAATATTTAATACAATAGACTCATGGTATACTATACAAAATTCTTCTGAATTCTAGCTTCAGTTTTCCTTCCACCAATGATAAGGCAGAAAAAAAAACCCCAGACTATAGACCTCAGAAGATCTTCTTGGCTCTTAATAGACATATGGTAAGAGATCTGGGGGGACTTGAAGCTATAGTGAGTGAACGTTGACAAACTGATTCAAGGATGCGCTGTTACTCTCATTTCCTCATTCTAAATTCCCCCATAAGGTAGGTAGGCTTTGTGTTAAACTCACAGATAGTAGGAGCCCTGTTTTGGAGATATAAACCTAGATAAGTCATTCCTGTCCTCAAGGAGCCTACCATCTAATGGGGGAGAAAACAAGGATATGGGCAGTTAGTCACAGGAGGCCAAGGGCAGACCGTGCAGTGAGGAGCCTCCGTACTCTGAGCCCACACCTGACTCACTCTGTCCCTCTGTTTATTTGTAAAACTGAGTTATTAATAGTATCTACTATTTTTGGATCGTTCTAAGGATTAAGTTTGCTATTGGTATGTTGTCATTGTTATGCCTGTTATTATTCTAGAAGTAGGCAAGAGATACTATGAAACTGTCATCTCAGTAGTCCTCAGGAGCACAGCATGAAGCCTTAGTCCAGTCTATAAATATTTGGGTCCCTACCATGTGCAATACAGGAAGGAGTGGGAGAGTTTTAGCAGAGCCTCAGTTCCCTCCAATTTAGATTCCAAATCTCTTGTGCGAGTTGGAAATTGTGTGTAATCAAGATTGAAAATACCTTTGGGAGGCTCCACCCTCAAGCCTGGGCTGTCTCTCAGAAAATTCTGCACAATTCATTTTTCTTCCAGTTTTGGGAAAGGTTCTGTCTCTTTGCCGGAGCACCAGATGAGATACTGGGCTTGCATCTACTGGCCCTACTGTAGGAAATCCATGCATTCCTGAGCATTAGGAAGACACTCAGAAAAGTGAGATGCTCACACTGTGACAGGCACTAGGAACTGGACACATACTGAGTCACAGGGCAGGGAAATCACCAGACTGAATTAAGGGATTGCTTTACTCTCCTTCTATTGAATTAGCATATTGACTGAATTCCCTCTCACTGCCAACTAAGTGTAAAGAGGAACACAGTGTTATCTCTGCCCTCAGGGAGCCTCCAGTCTAGCTGGGAGGGGAACCATAAGCACCTGAAGAGTTAATCCAAACCCCGAATTGGAGGAACACGTGCTTCCTGATTATAGCTGACTTTTACTGAGCAATTACCGTGTACTGGGCACTATTAGCTCTTAATCCTCACATCAATGAAGCAGGTGCTATTACTATCATTTGCATTTTCACAAGAATAAACAAAAGCATGGGAAGATGAAGTCATTTGCCCAGGGTCATCCAGGGGTCTGGCTGGGAGCCTTCCCATTTGCTTCTCCCACCTGCCACAACTGGGGCACTGGGGGGAGCTGAGGAGGCTTCAGGGTCAGGCTAGGCACCAAATGAGCCTTGAACTATGTGTAAAATCTGAGAATATATATAGAAGTGGGACTCAGGGGAGAGAAGGAGGAAGTCATAAAGGAGACCCAATAAAGAAGATTGAAAGGATGACTTTAGATCAGATTTTAAATGGTGTTGTATGATGTACGTGAAAAATGTGACATGGAGCTGTGATATTTCATCCGGAGGTTCTTTCGGTGTAAGTCTGGACAATCTCATTTATAAAAATGTAAGCAGGTTGGCAGTAATGTTTTCCTGCTTCTAACACCGAGGGGGAAAATACTAGAACATGAAACGAGAGTGTGGTGCGCTACGTTTAATGAAGTTTTTTATCTTCCTAAAAACATCCTGTAGGGACATCGATGGAGTGTTGCAGCGAGCAAATAATACAGAGTACGGTTTGGCCTCGGGGGTGTTCACAAGAGACATAAATAAAGCTATGTACGTGAGTGAAAAACTGGAGGCAGGAACCGTGTTTATTAACACGTACAACAAGACGGACGTGGCAGCCCCGTTCGGCGGCGTGAAACAGTCCGGCTTCGGAAAGGACTTAGGTACGCTCGGCTCTCCTCCTGCCTTTGCTTCCCCATCGCAGGGACGTCTGCCCTGGGTGTCCTGCAGCCCTCGTATATTCCGAGGAAGGGAACTTCCTACAAAAGCAGCTGGACTTGGGTTGACAGGGCACATGTTTCGAAATGTTAAATGTTGTTTTGACCACACAGAAAAGTGCACAAATTGTGTGGAAAAGTGTTCCTATGTAAAAGAAGATGAATGTTGAAAGGTAAAAGAACCTCTGACGATATCTTTTCGCTGAAATAGGTTTGGTTTACTTACCTGACATTCAGCATGAACTTGGTTTAGCGTTCACGAGACTAAGTGGAACCCAGACGGGAACAGTAGATTCCAGGCAGGAACCAGTGAGCTCGGAGAGTAAGTCTTGTCTCTGAGCTGCTTGGCCTTTCAGAGTCAGCGCTGCAGCCGGCAGGGTTTGCTGGGGGTCTGGGAACTCCGATTTCCGGTCTGTAGAAAGCTCCCAATGGAATGCACTGTGGGCGGGCACACCCCCACACTCCCAGCCGGAGCTCACTTTGAACACTAACCCAGGCCCCGTTCTCACCACTCCACCTGTGTGAGCACAGGCACTCTCACAGTGGCCCTGGGAGACAGCTGCCGTTCATTATCTTTGTTTAATGGATGAGGAAAAAGAGGGTTCAGAGAGGCTGGGTAACTTGCTCCAGGTCACACAGCACGCCCCTGGCAAGGAGAATCCAAGCCCAGCAAGCTGGCTGTGGAGCCCATGTTCTTAACTCCCCGCAGTCAGGTCTAGCCTGTCGTTTCAAAAACGGAAATATTTGTGATTTACTGAACTTATAGTCCACTAATGCAAGTTTGGTTAATTTAGGATATTTTTACATTTTCTCTTTCCCGATGACTTTAAGCAATGTATTTGCAGCAATAAAAGTAGCTCTCATTTTAAATTCCATGGACTTGAAGGTAAAGTCAGGGTTGTTTTTTTCACGTCTTTAATCTGGCTCTCATGCCTGCATCCAAAACACAGTGGGAGATCTTCTTAGAGAAATTACTGTTATAAAATGAGGCAACTGGGCCCCACTTGTCTTTTGATAGAGTATAATGCACCAGCTTCAGGTTTCTGTTTTATTATAAAACAGGAGAATTTGCCTAATAGCTTTTTCTTTTCCCAATTTTAAACTCCCTTAGCCCAGTGATTCCCAGTTGCACATCGGATTAGAATCAACGGGGAGTTTCAGAAAATAAAAATACAGAGATGCTGACTTAATTGCTCTGAGGTGTGACCTGGATCGGGGTTTTAATAGCTCCCCAAGGTGATTCCAATTTAAGGTTTACAACCCTGGGTTTGGCTCAGCTGTCAGTGTCTCATCCTCATTAGCGTGGCCCGTGGCATCCACGCCCCGTAACTGCCACAGAAGTGGATGGTTGTACTGGCTCAGAATAGATACAGAAATTTTCTCTTTGGCCTGGATATGGCTTTCTCTGTTTTTAAGATACTATGTAAATCAGGAAAACTGCATTTTCCTTATCTTTAAAATATAATTAGTACTGAAGACTGTAGGCAGTTATAACACAGTGGTGTTTGTGTATCTGAACATATAGAAACATAGAAAAGGTACAGTAAAAATGTGGTTGTGGAAGATAAGGGTGGTTCACCTGTGCAGGGCACTGACCGTGAATGGAGCCTGCAGGACAGGCAGCTGCTCTGGGTGCGTCAGTGAGTGAGCGGTGAGTGAGTGCGAAGGGCCAGGACAGTTCCGTACACTACACTCTGGAAGCACTGTGCTCTTAGGCCACGCTGCATCCATAAAACAACACAAGACTGAACAAGTACAAGAAAAATTGATGCAATCAAGACACACAGGATATGCTCAGTGAAATAAGCCAGTCAGAGAAAGACAAATACCATATGATTTCACTGATATGTGGAATCCAAAGAACAATATAAACGAACCAACAAAACAGAAACACTCAGATGCAGAGATGCAGAGGGTTCCCAGAGGGGAGGGGCGCTGGGGACCTGGGGGAGGCAGATGATGGGACTGAGAAGCACAGATTGGTGGTTACAAACTAGCTACAGGGATGTAAAGTACAGCATAGGGAATAGAGTCAATAATATGGAAATAACTATGGATGGTGCCAGGTGGGTACTGGAAATATAGGAGGGAAAACTTTATAAAGTATATGCTTGTTTAACCACTAAGCTGTCCACCTGAAACTAATACAAAATAATACTGAATATACACTGTAAGTGAACAAATTTTTACCTTTGAAAAAGGAGAGGGACAGTAAACACGAGAGGCATAATTGCGGAGCCTCTGCCGGATGTAATCGCATCAGAAGCTGCAGCTTCACAGCATCATCAGGTGAGCACTTGAACTTTAAAGGCTGGTGAGCACTGGTCTCAGCCACATTCTCCTTGAGAGACCCAGACATACACACCTGCATCCGAAAGTCTGGTGACATCACACCCACCTACGAACGTCATCCATCAACAGTCTTTCTCTTCCCCAGGTGAGGAGGCGCTAAACGAATACCTCAAAACCAAGACGGTGACGCTGGAATATTAGAGCATTGCCAGGATCAGGTGCGACAGCATGGCAGACAGCGCGATGCCTAATTCTCCACCCACGTGAGAAGCCCGGGTGTGCGGAAGAAGGATGTCTCAGCCACGAGCCAGAGATTATACACAGGGACCGTGGGGACAGGCCACATGTCTAAGCACATACACATGTGCCTGAGCCATGCACCGTCTGTACCTTAAAACAACCTCCTCTTGTCGGTTTTTGTCTATGTCGTACATCACACATACTTCTACAATGCCGAGCCGGCTCCCCCCCTCCCAAAACTAATCCGGTCACGGCTGTTCATCTTGAAAATGTCAATATCATGCAGTTATAGTCCCAGAGTACACTTTTTAGAAACTTATACAGGTTTTAACCTCTAAACCATACATTTGGGTTATTGGAAAGATTTTCTAGAATTTTGCCTTTGAGCAATAGTATTTGCTGTAAGGAATGTAAAAGAAGTTCCTTCTTCCTGTTTGGAAATAAGATATATCTTTGTGCCTTTGATGTTCTATTTTTCAGCCCACTGTGAGGGCGACCGACCCACAAACCGTTCTTGAATACTTGCTTGGTACGAGGGGACATGTTTTCTCCTGAGGAGTATTTGAAATTTAACCACATGAGCTCCAGTCCCAAACAGTTTATATTCCAGTCAGAGCAACTGACTTCTATTACTCCTCATTTTATTATTTTTTAATTATTTTCTTCCCATCCCAGCCCCCCCAACCCCCTGCCCCCAGATTATTCCTCATTTTAAAGTAAAAATGTCTACAATGTCATTGGCCTTGAAGAAGCCTGGGAATAGCTGTCACTTTGAAGACTCAGCAGCTCACAATCAGGGGACCGTAGGAAATCAATAATCAATAAGCAACGACAACAAAATCACAAGCAGAAAATACGCAAAAGGAAGGGTGCCAGGTGACCCTGGCGTGGTCAAACAGAGTGAACTTGTCTGCAAGCATTTCCATTACATCACAGCTCGTTTACCATCAACGGCACTCGGCACGGCGGCGATTCTCAGTTGGAATGAACATGCTCTGGGTTCACATTTGAATAAAGTGACAAAGGCCTTATTATAAAGGGACCACTTTTAAACGCAGTGTTTGAACTGATGTCATGTGATTTAAAATATCACTTAACCAAATATTTTAATGATAGACGAAATGGCAAACAAAAGCATGCCCCTTCTAGACTAATCCTACCTTCCAATGTTCATCTCCGTTGGAATGTTTTTAATCTTCAGGCCATGAACCTCTTTGAGAATCTGATAAAAATGGAACCCCTCTGTTCCAGTTCTCCTCCCCGAATTCATTGCACACAATCCTGCAAACAGCTTCATGGGGTTCACGGACCTCCTGAAACCCACGTTTGGGCCTCGGATGAAAAACTCCTTTTTCCACAGTAATTTCTAAAGTTCTTACCAGCTGGAGTTTTGAAATCAAACTGGATCAGAATCAAAGGCTTCATGGAATTCATAAAATTACCACTAAATTTCATTTGGAACCTAATGATCCACAGCCTACCAGGTGATTTAATTAACACACCAAGTGATTTAATTATCACTGTTCCTTCAGATCACAGGCTGTTTTGCTGGAGGGTAAATCTGCTCCTTACTGAACTGGGGAGGTGTGGCCTCCTCAGCAGTCTGACATTCCTTTTAATTCCATCTCCCCTCACCTCTGCCTCAGCTCCCCCCTTTGGCTCACACACCCTCCCTGACCTTTCTACCCCCAACGTGATCCAAGTGTCTCTCCTCTGTGCTCCAACCTGTCTGGAGCATAGAGTTTACCACTTGGTGCTAAAGTTATTTGCCTTCCTAACCGGATAGGAGCACCCAGTCCTCACTCCGGGATCAGCATTCTGTCAGTAATAACAACCATGGTCGTTTACGATGGCCTCCTGTGTGCTAAACCAATGTTCTTAAATGTTATGTCATTTACTATGCGCGACATCTGGAAAAATGAATAAACAGGTGCTTGTCTTACTACTTCCACTTCTGCCAAGCCATTATTGTCTCTTATCTCACTTATTGCTGGTCTCCCAACTAATCTTCCTGATTCCTCCCTGTGGTTCTGCTCAAAGCTCCAGTCAGGGGGTGCCACGCTTTTGCTTTAAACCTTCTGATGGCCTCCATTCTGCTTAGAATGAAGGCCAGTGTACTTCCCGTGACCTGTGAAGTCTTACTGGTCTGGCTCCCAGCTCCCTCTGACCTGTCTCCTCTTCCACTTCCCTCTCACTCTCTCTAGCCTTCCAGGTCGCCTCCATGTCCTCAAACACACCAGACATGCTCCTACCTCAGGGCCTTTGCACTTACTGCTTCTGCTTCCCAGTGGTGTGCTGGTAAACATTTAACGAGTAGCTCTCTAGGGGAAAAATTCATAGTATTTGCTGATTTCTGTCTACAAGTGCTCTCATCAAGGCTGATTTCAACTTACCGATTTGATCTCGCCAAACACCAAGCTGGGAGGAGGTGGGCACAATCAGAATGAGTGCAAGCCAGGCCAGCATGCTACTGCCTCTTCCTAAAACTTTCCCCAAACACCTCCTCCAGGCTGGCTGCCTTACTCTCCTCAAATAGCATGTTAGTAGGGATACATTCTCTGCCTACTCTTTCTAGAACCTATGTACCCACATTCACGCCTCATCTGCCTATTGTTCTTTATTCTCCTCATCCTGCATTATTTCCAGAGCATTTATCCCAACCCGGCATATGTGTATTTATCATCGATCTCTCCCCACTAGAATGTACGTTTCATGAACAGGTGCTTCTTTTGTTCAATGTTCTACCCCAGTGCCTCACATGTAGGTAGAGCGCAACAAATATTTGCTTTTAAGTGAGAGACGTTAAGTTACCTGCCCACAGTACAGAGCTGTTAAGTGGCAGAACAGGTTTCCCAGCAATGGAGCTGGGGGTCTGAACCAAGCTGGCATGGCTTTTAGTGCCCATGCCTAAATTGGGGACTGGGGAGCGAAGGGTAGATGCACACGCTAAACGTAAGAACTAAGCAGCATGGACACTATCTGCATGGACATTATCTGTGGAGGTGGGTAGAGACGGGATGAGGAACCAAGTCTGGTTCCCCCACACCGCCCCTCCAAGAAAATAACAACTGTTAAGGGACAGCTGGACTAGAAGGTTATCAGACACAAGACATGATGGATAGGGTGCATTATTATTATTACTACTTTGCAAATAATACCCAAGTGAATTTTTAAATGATCGACTAACACCTAATAGTGTGAAAGCACATAAAGCAGGAAGGCAAAACTCGACCATAAATTCTCCGCACAGAAATAACCATAGATGTTGTGAGAATGTTCCAGACTTTTCCTAAGCCCATACTTTTTTTTTATAGAATCGGTGTAAGTGCATGCGACTGTGTTCCCTGCTTTTTCCACTAATGGTCTATACGTATCTTCCTGTCAATAAACATTCCTCTGCACATGCTCAGTGGTCCAACTGGCTCTCTCTAGTTGGATATTTGGGTTTGCTTTTTTACTACTTTAAACATTGCAATAAATCTTAGAGAAAATTTATGAACAAAGCCATACTTATGTAATTGGGTAAATTCCTAGAAGTGGAATTCCTGAGTCAAAAGATTTAGGAATCTTACAGATTTTCCCAAGTTCTTGCCAGCATCATGCATTAGTCTTTGTGTATTATAGCATCATAATACCTCACCTTTACTGAACACTGTTCTTAGCACGTGATATGCCACTAACTCAATCTTACCAAAACTCCACAAAGGAGCCCTGGCTGGTGTGGCTCAGTGGATTGAGCACCAGCCTGCAAACTGAAAGGTTGCCTGTTTGATTCCGTCAGGGCACACGCCTGGGTTGCCAGCTGGTCCCTGGTTGGGGTTGTGTAAGAGGCAGCTGATCGTTTCTTTTGCACGTCAATGTCAGAGCCTGTGTTCACAGCAGAGGGACTCACAGGCCCAGGACAGGTAGGTGACTGAACCTAGGACTTGGCTCCAACACTTGCTTATTGTGAAGCCTTAGGAATCTGCTTAGTATCTCCATGCTAATTTTCTCATCTGTGGAATGGGTGTGAGTATCTCATAAGGTGGTGACCTTTTTGTTTTTCAATAAGGAAATTTGTTGTAATAAGAAATTCAGCGACACTTCAACCCAGTGACGCGTGCAGTGGCTCGATGATGCCTTCTTCTCTCTGTATCCTGTGTGCTGCCTCACCTTCAGGAGCTGGCTCCATTTATGGCCGCCAGGTGGGAGTCCCAGGAATCATATTCAGTAACATGGTACCTAGTCCCTTCTCCAAAAAGGAACTATCTCTTTATGTGCCTCCTCTTGAAGAATGAGAAACACTTTCCCTTCCCAGGCCACTAACAAGACTTTGCTCGCGTCTTATTGGGAAGGTTCATGTCCCACGCCTGTTCCCAAACCAATCACTGCCAAGGGTTTTCCATGAACAGATGGTGGTGAGTCAACCACACAGATCCCAACATTAAACTTTTGGGAAAGGTTTACCAATCATATTTACTCCCCGCCCCCTTTTTTAAGACTGTAAACTACTGATGTTTAAAATGAACTATTTTATTGACACAAAGAGAAAAAACTAGTTTAATGAGTATTTATTGTACATTTCAACCAAGTGAAAGGCACTGTATAAATATACACACACCAGGCACGGAGGGAAGTACAGGTGAAAGTAAGACAACCTTTTTCTCGTCTTTCCTACTACAACAGTGGGCACAGGCCCACGAACACAACCATGAGGAACCCTGCAAGGCATTGCTGTGTGTGCGCATACATGTCTGATGCGTAATTAAAGTACTACGAGAACAGATGGCAGATTCCTTCAGAATGAAATTTTTGCTTCAAAGACCATCACACCTAATTTTCTGATTTATGACTATCACAGAGCCGTGGACGACATAATGAGGCACAAGTCTGAAGAGAACACCTGGTCAGCCTTAGCAGGAGCAGAACTGTTCTCCGAACGGCTGCCATGCTCTCACCTAACGTCAGGCTGGCAAAGCACAGGGCCGGACCAACCAAAGCACCACAGTGACTGACTTTCCAACAGACCGCAAGGCAAACTGCTTATACACAAAACAGCTGTTAATTTAAGGTATGCCATACTTAAGTGCACAAACATTAGGCGTACAGCTCGATGAATTTGTATGGGCGTGGGAATGGCAGTAAACCAAACGGAAAACACTCAGAGCCGCACTGACACTCAGAAAGGCGAGGCAAGTTCCATCTGCCAAGCTGACGGGTGAAAAGTCACCACATTCGTATCCTGCCGTGTGTAACGTGCACCCACATTTTTGGACCAAACTTTTAGAGGAGAAATCTCTCGTTTTAATTTTTTAATTCAATTTTTAATTTATTTATATTTAGAAACAAAACCAATTATTGTATCCCAGGGTATTATTTTGGATATGGATCTATTATTGCCTCCTAGAGTTACACTTTTAATGCCTAAGTATGAGTTAAAGAATTAAAAGCATTTATACAGACATGGAATTAGCACTGCCCATAATGCGCACCCTTGTTTTTCCCTCAAAAATATGGGCAAATAGTGTGCATCACACATGGCAAAATATGGCACAACCTTGGTTTCATTTGTATTTCTTTGATAAATGGAGCTGAACAATTTTTTGTTACTTGTTCGTGTCCTGTGGTATTTTCCCTATTGAATATTTCACTATTGAGAAGGAATAGGGAAAAGTTAAAAGAAAGCCTTAGAACATTAGGGGACAAAATTCCATCAGCAACCTACGTGGAGACAGTCCCTTAAACTCTCAGGTCCAGACCCTGAGCCGAGCCAGCCCAACGGCAGATGGGACCTGAAACCGTTTAATGAGGCTGACGGTGAGGCGGGAAGTCGACTCCAGTGTAGGACCATCTTTGCCTTTTAATGGAAAAACTGCTATTACCTTTTCATGTTCTGCGCCCTATTTTTGCTCTGGTGTCCCTGTTCTCTACATTTGACAGGTTTCAAACTGTGGGCAACTGTGTAGAATAGTTCTAGTAACTGAGGGAAAAAAATTGCTTTATAAAAAAAAAGAAAACAAAAAAACCATGAATTTTTCAAACCAGTAAATTCTATATCCATTGAGTGCCTACAGTTACCAATAGTGATTAAAACCAAGGAGAACCAGTTTTCCAGCTCATACTGGAAAAGAACATATTTTTTAAATGAAAGGACATATGCCCAAAGGTAGCTAAATCTAAGTAATTCTTTCTGTTGTAAAAGAGCTATTTTAAACATTTTGCTCTCACTAAACCCACTTTGATGCTAACAAACAAATTTGAAGTGATAATAACAAAAAAATCCACATAGGTTGTTTTATCTGAGATGGTAATTTAAAACAAAAATGAACAAGTGATTTATATTTTTACTTTAAAATAAGTGTGAGCCCTGGCTGGTATAGTTCAGTTGGTTACAGCATCATCCAGTAAACCAAAAGGTTTCGGGTTTGATCTCCACTCAGGACACATACAGGAGGCAACCCATTGATGTTTCTCTCTCGCGGGGATATTTCTTCCCCTACCACTCCCCTGCTCTTCCTCCTTCTCTAAAAAGTAATGAAAAAATGCCCTTGGGTGAAGATTAAAAAATCAGTCAGTCTGAGATGCCAACAAATTCACTCGTCACCAAAAATGGAGTTGAGCTTTCTAAACCAAATCTCTTCAGCATGAGATCAAGGACAGTCTGCTCTTAGAAGATCACCAAATGAACCTATTCCAACTCTTTATAAGTCAGCCTCTGTTTGTCCGAGAACCAAAGCACATCCGATACCACACGACAGCACCCAACACCTGAAATGCAAAACCACTAGCGAGCCACATTCTTTTCTTCAGAATGAGAAGGCACAGATCACCTGTCCCTGACGTCATTGATTTCACTCCTTCTTTCTCTTACTGGCAGGACTGTCCAAAACCTCTATCTTGCCTTTCCCATCTTCCGAGTGAGGAAGCTTAATGTTATCTATGGTGACTTCGGAGGAGGCGCTGGCATCTTCATCCTCAGATTCTGAGCTGTCCTCTGAACTGGCCTGAGAATTCTCTTCCGAACTGTCCTCTTTTTCTGAACCAGACTGATTCATCTCAAACAAGGCCACATCCTGCAAAACACACCATGTGGGAAATTTACTTTGGAGCAGTTCCCTAAAAAGTCGCAACAAAACACTCGGAACAACCAACATTTAGCACAATATTGAAGCACAAAGGGCATGTTTGTAATACAATATGGCACTTTTATTCTTTTAGTTGCCAGAGTACACCATAATAATTTACGTTTACTCTAAGTCTAAAGAGACCCCCATCACCCAGCTGGGTGTGTCCCGAATACATTCTCATTCAGCAACTATTCCCATGAGCCAGGCACCACACTAGGCACTAGAGACTCAACAACAGTAACAACAAAGTCCCTGCCTTGGTGGAAGTTGTGTTTTTACGCAGGGGTTGGTGGCCTACTGGCCAAACCCAGCCTGCTTACCTACCTTGGTTTAGGTCGTGAGCTAAGAATGGTTTTTATATTTTTAAGTGGCAAGAAAAAAAATCTGAAGAAGAACAATATTTCATGAAACACGAACTTATATGAACATGGAATTATATGAAATTCCAATTTCAGTATTCATGAGGAAAGTTAATATGACTTGTCTATTCATTGAGCATTGCCTGCAGCTGCTTTCACGCTGCAAGGGCAGAGGTGGGCCGTGGGGACAGTACAGCATGGCCCACAAGGCCAGCAGCATTCACTAACCGGCCCCTTACAGAAATGTTTGCTGGCCCACGTTCCAATTGGGAAAGAAAGACAATACTAAACAATTGCATATTCTGCATGGTGTAGGCTAGAGAAAAATAAAGCAGAATAAGGTAATAATAATGCCACTGGGGAAGGCCTCTGAAGTAGGTGACAACTGCTAAGAGACAAAGCCAGCCGAGTAGCAGAAATCACGGAGGAGCATTCTGCAAGGAGGGAAAAGGCCTGGAGTAAGGGGTTGAAACTGGAGTGCAAACTGGACTGGACAAGGTCAGCTAGAGCTGGAGGCAGGACCACACAGGCCCTAGAAAGACTCTGACTTTATCAGAAATGGGCTGGGAAGGCCCCTGGCCCCCAAACTGTGGATCACACACAGTGTGAGGAATAGACTCCAGGGAAGAAAGGGAGAAGGTGAGGAGACCTGTTAGAAAATTACTGCAACAGTCCAAAGGGGAGACTGTAATTATTAGGACCAGGCTGGCAGGAGTGGAATCCATGCAAAGTGGTTGGATTTGGGAGATATTCTGCAGGTAGAGCTGACCAGATCTGCTGATGAATTAGATGTTATTATTAACAATGGTGTCAGCTCTGTCCAGACACACTGTTATAAGGAGAATTCTAGTGTAGAAATAACACATGAGCCTAAATTGAGACCCTTTTCACAAGTGGCTTATGTAATATATTGTTAAACATATTAATGTTTGCATTCTCAATATATCAGAACATATTACCTCTCTGGGCCTTGGATGGGGAAAAAAACAAAACCCAGTTAGGACATTTACTGAATTAATGCTTCAAGGTAACAAATGCAACGACTGACTCGGAAAAGCCCCGCCTGTGACTCCGCATTACTCAGCCCCTAAACTTCACCCAGGAAAGCTTACAGACCTATAAGATCCTTAATCATAAAATGACCAAGTACCTAAGCAGGACTGGAAACATGAGCTGACTTTCTGGGAAGAAAAATAACTGTGGAATTAAAATGGGAAAGTTCTCTCTTTTTTAGGTGATGAGGCATACTGGTAATTTTACTACATGAAATGAAAATGAAGCATAGTTACCATTTGTATGACTTTTTCAAGTGTCTCATCAATATTTTCAATATTGAAATGACCAGGTGGTGCAGCTGCCATTTCTTTCCTTAGCTTGTCATTCGCCTGAGCCATCTGTGGGAGAAAGGTCTGCACTTGGTCCAATACTAAGGAGAGAAAATGCAGTTTATCCAGACTTATGTTAGTATTTGGCCAGTGTTCAAATTTTATTTTTATTTTTTATTATGTATATTTTTTAAATTGTATCTATTGATTTGGGAGAGAGAGAGCAACATCGATGTGTTGTTTCACTCATCTATGCATTCACTGGTTGGTTCTTGTAAGTGCCCTGTCCCTGACCAGAGATCAAACTCACAACCTCTGAGTGCAGGGGATAATGTTCCAACCAACAGAGCGGCCCAGCCCAGGCCTGAGTTTCCTCTCACACGCTGTCACTCTTAGTCACTCCCGGGTGTGCGTCCATGCTCCACAACCTTGGCCACCGCGAGTTGTTTCAGTGGCATACACAGTGACACTGTGATCTACCTATTCAGACCGATAAGAGATCACCGAGACATGGTCTGAACTGTGGAGGAAAAAATCTTTCTGAGAGAGTGAGTGAGCGGCTGAATCTAAGGCTGGAGCTGCTGATAAACTGGCCACCTTGCCAGAGGGAGGGAAGAGCCTGCTCCAGATTAAGCCAACGCCTAGGAGAGAACAGCTAAGAGACGCAGAGCAGCAGCCTGCTGACGGCAATGGGCACCAGGGTGCAGATGTACCGGAAACCACTGGGTTTTCCCCCCCAATAAAATGACTCATAAACCCTGGCTGGTGTGGCTTAGTGGATTGAGTGCAGGCCTGCGAAATCAAAGGGTCACCAGTATGATTCCCAGTCTAGTGGATGCGTGAGAGGCAGCCACACAGTGATGCTTCTCTCCCTCTCTCCCCCCCCTTCCCCTCTCTAAAAATATATAAAATCTTCTTTTAAAAAAAATGACTCAATCCACTGAGGTGTTGCTTCCCAGCAGTTATTACCAGTTTGGCTCAAATAAACTCACAAACATTCTCCAAAAAAAAAAAAAAAAAAGACTCATAACTAACATTTAATTTAACCACTTGAAACCTCAGTTTACTCATCTGTAAAACAGGAGTCATATCTGCCAGGCACAGTGCTATGAACATGGGAGTCAACAAATACGGGATAACAGTTCCCTTCTCTTTCAAAAGAGGTTTGGCACATAACCAGCTCTCAAAACAGTGAGTGGCTAGTACAGTCACACAACAGGTGACTAAAATGTCCAGAGTATGAAAGACAAGAAAATGGTGACAAAGGTCAAGAAATGGCCTTTAACTGTAAAATGGGGCTGCTGGAGGAATTAAATGAGTCACATACGTACCAAGCACCACACCATGTCTGGTGCATACTAAATAGTGAATACACGTGACCTCTCATGCCCCTTCAGATCACAGACAGAGTAATAAAAATAAAGCCATTATTTTGATTGCAGATTTTGCAATCTGCAGAGCTGGAGGCAGGACCACATGGGCCCCAGAAAGACTCTGACTTTATTAGAAATGGGCTGGGAAGGGCCCTGGCCCCCAAACTGTGGATCGCACACCATGAAAAACAGACTCCAGGGAAGAAAGGGAGAAGGTGAGGAGATTTCACGCTGCAAGGGTGAAAGATTTCCATCTATTTCCATCTATTACCATCTATTACCTCAGATCAAGTATGAGGCCATATTTTGTTCTGCTTTGGTTTTTAACTAATGGATCACGTGGAGCAAAACATGGACCTATATGTGTGGTATGACCCAAAGTTTTGAGAAGCCAAATATTTATTTCTACAGTACTCTAGTTCAGTACACGCTGAGCCCTTGAAGCTAATCCAGTTGTAGTTCTTCTAAACAGAATAAAACAAAATCCAGCATGCAACACATAAAATCCAAAATATACCACATCCAATAAAAATTACCAAGCATGCAAAACAAGCAGGAACGTAATTATAAAGAGTAGGGGAAAAAAAATAAGAGAAAGAGATCCAGAAATGACACATGACAGATTAAGCAACACGAACGTTAAAACAGCTATTATAAACACTCCACATAGTCAAGCAAGCACAGAAAAGCATGAACACAATATGGAAAGAAATGAAAGATATAAATAAAAGACTCAAACTAGACTTCTAGAGATATGAACTACAACATCTGACAAATCGAATGGGATTTAACAGCAGATTAGACAACACAGAGGAAAAGATTAGTGAACTTGAGGACACAGCAATAGAAACTACCCAAAAAGAAACACACAAAAATGAATCTAAAAACCAAACCAAACCAAGTAGCAGTGAAATGTGGGACAACTTCAAAAAGCAAAATTATGTATAACTAGAGTCCCTGCAGAAAAGTGAGAGGAAAGAGGGGACAACAAAATATCTGAAAAAAACCCCAAATAACTAAAAATTCCCCAAATTTGATGAAAACTATAAATCCACAGATCCAAGAAGTTCATGAAACCCCGAGCTCAAGAATCACAAAGAAAGCTACAAGGCACACCACAATAAAATTGTGAAAACCAGTGATAAAGAAGAAATCTTACAAACAGCCAGAGAGGGAAAAATTTTATACATAACAAATATACTAACAGCCCTCCCAACAGAAATGACACAAGTCAAAAGACAGCAGAGCAACAGCTTTAAAATACTGAAAAATTAAAAAACACTGAAAACCTGTCAACCTAGAATCCTACATACTTTGAACATATCTTTTAAAACCAAAAACAAAATATTTTCTGGTGTACAAAAGCTGGTGAACTTATCACTGCCGACAGGCCTACACTATAAGAAATGTTGTTTATCAGTAACATAAACAACTTGGTTGTTAAAATGAACTAACATTTGAACAGAAATTTCACCAAAAACATGTAAGTGGTGAAAAAGCACGTGAAAGGTTCTTCAACATCACTAGACATTAGGGAAACACAAATTGCAATCACATGGATACCGCTGCATCCACACTGGAATAGCTGAAGACAGACCGTACTGCGTTTAAGCAGAGGATGTGGGACAACCAAGACAAATAAACTCGCACGGGGCTGGCTGGAGTGCAAAACGGTGTACCCAACTTTGGAAAACAGTTTGGCAACTTCCACTTTATTTAAAAAAACACACTTTCCAAAATGACCTAACAATTCCATTCCTAGGTATGTACCCCCTCCACCCACCAAAAACCAGCAACACAAAAACCTACGTGCACACAGAAGCTTGTAACTGAGCGGAGAGCCACGGTACAGTAATGTTAGCTCTGCAGATTTAGTATATGCTACGGTGAAGTTCACTTGAAGAACACTCATGATTTCTTAGTTAATAGACACAGTAACCTCATGCATTGTTTACAATATAATCGTGTCCAATTTAATGGAATGTGGTGGTGTTTTCTCTGATGGTTCTGAGTGATGGTTGTTCTGTATTTTAGTTGTAATTTTGATGTAGCTGTGCAAAGAGGCGAGGCACGTCTGTCTGGACCGCCCCCTTGACCAGAGGTTTGGTGGTGTTTTCTCAAACATGTATATTAAATTTGGGTTCAGTAACTCCTAAAAAAATTCCCTATAATTTTGGACAGTATCACTCTAACACAATTTCCCACAGAGATTAACAATAATTAATTTTGATTTCTAAAAATTCATCCCACAAGGAGTTTATCTGGGAAAAGTTAGTCTTAGAGCAGAATACATAAGGAACCCTATCCAGGTGCACAGACTTCACAATGTAAATTCCAAAAAGAGTTTCTCTGCCAGACTGAGTGGTTTAATATCTGACCAGGAAGGCAGAGATGGTCCCATCCAATAACTTCTTAATCAGGCAGAATTTAACATTTGGACTGGGTTCTTGAGAGAGAGGAAGGGGGGGAAGGGTACTTACAGGGACTCCTCTCTATCCGAACTGTTTGAAGAGTGGAATTCTTTCTGGAATTAGGCTTGGAGTTGATGAGCAATCTGTCCCATATACCTGAACACACAGACACACAGGACACTCAATTTACTATAGTAGAAACAGGAGCCCATCAGCAAGCTTTCTGTGACCACTCTCAAGTCTTGACCATCCCACATTGCCCAATATGCTTTTACAAAGAGGAGCACCTAAGTTCATTATAACATTTTAGTTCTTTGGGTACATCTATCTCCCCTTTCTTAAGCCTGTCTCACACATCCCTATGTCACTGATGCTGAATAAGTGCACCTTAAACTGCACCTTTCTGTGCAGTTTAAGGTTTCACTTACTGGTCATGGATGGATCAGAAATCCATCCGTGACAAAAGCAGGTGCAACGACAGAATGCAGGAAGTGGTACAGGGTATAACAATGAGTAATTATAACGGCTAAGTGAAGCCAGAATCAGTTACTAGCTATGTTATACTGGACAAACTGCCTAACCTCTTTGGGTATTTGTTTTGTCATTTGTAAAACACACCTGCTTGGTTAGTTCCCCTTCATTTAAAATGCCCAACCTAAATAAAACGCCCTTTGGAGAAACTGTGTCCCCCCACTTCATCTATTTAGTGTCGTCATTCACCACTCCTTGAATCAGTCCAAGGCAAGGTTTTGCACCCTGCTTCTAATATCTGCAAAATCTCTTCATTCTGATACAAAAATCCTGTTCATCCACAAAGCAGAACTCCACAAAGACTGGCGGCTTACTACTTTAGGCCTAGCGATTGGGTTTATGGAAAGAGCTTGGACTCCAGAGACAGACTGACTGGACTCAAATCCCAGTTTTGTTCCTTTCCAGCCACATGATCTCTGGCAAATCACTTATCTGCATGTTACACCATAACTCCGTTTCTTCGTCTATAAAATGGAGATAACAGAACCTTCTGCACAGGATTGTTCTGAAGATTAAATTCTCGCATAAACATTCACAAGTACTATTACTTCCTTTTTCCCAATATGAAATCTGGGGCGTTGAAAACGTAAGAAACTCCCCTAAAGTCCTACAGCTAATTACTGGTAGCGCTGGGATTCGAACTCACGATATTTCTTTTTCTATGACTGCGTCTGAAATCCCGGGTGGACTCCCTGAACCCAAGCCTCCCTCTACAAGAGGGCGGTCCTGAGGGCTGATTCTTTGAGAATGGGAGGGTGGAGGAAACGACGGCGGGGTAATAGCTAACAGTTACCTGCTAGGGGACCAGCCTAGGGCACGGTACCCAGACGCCGACCCCTAAGGCCCTCCCCTTGCGGGAGAAGTCTTGCTGCAGCCCTTGGCAGCCAGGGCGCTCAATACCACGTGGAATGTGGAAACCTACCCGGGCCCCGCCGCCCGACTCAGGCCCTCCAACCGCTATCTACGCAGCGGCGGGTACCCCAGAGCCCTGCGGTCACACTCGGGGCTCCACTCGCGGATGCCGGGCCTGGGCAGAAGACCTGCGGTCCGCCCGGCTGCTCTAGCTGCGTGCCCACGCACCACGTGCGCGCCCCACACCACTGCCACCCGTCCGTCACCTCCGTGGCCGCCATTCCCCGCCGTCAGCAACTCCTTGGACACCGGGACCCCAGAGCCATCCTTGGGGGACGAGGAAGAGGTCAGACTGGACTGGGTTTCGCCGTGGACCTCCATGCCACTAGCTGGATTCCGGAGCCGACCACCCAGACCCGGATGCAGGAAAGAGGCTGGGGTAGGGGCGGGGCCAGGACCTTGATTGGAGGAGAATGGGCGGGGGGTGGAGAAGGGGGCGGAGCAAGAGCCGCCGCAGCTAGGGCGACACCTGGCTAATCCTCCAGGCCGTTGCTACTGTGGGAAAAGGCAGGTTGCAACCCTTGAGGCCTTGTGATTGGGAGGCTCATTGATTTTTTTTTTTTAAGCGAAATAACTTCGGATGTAAAGAGCGCACCACGGGACCGCCCTCCTCTTCGTTCTTAAAAAATAATTTGTAATTGTAAAAAAACAAATTTCACCATCTTAACCATTAAACGTACAGTTCAGAAGCATTAGCTATCAACATATTCACAGTCCTATGTAACAGACCTTTTGAATATTTTCATCTTGAAAATCTGAGAGGGGAGAAGGGTATAAGGGGGACAAATGGTAATGGGAAAATACAATAAAAATAAATTTGAGAAATAAAAAAAGAGAGAAAAACTGAAACTCTGTGTTATTGAGAGATGCCCTCATTGCCCCTTGCCTTCAGCCCTGGCAACAGCCATTATATTTCTCCTTCTATGAGTTTAACTACTTCAGTTACTTCATATAAGTAGAATCCCTTTTTGTGACTGACGTATTTCACTTAGTGTAATGTCCTCAAAATGTATCCGTATTGTAGCATGTGACAGGATTCCCTTCATTTTTCTTTAAAGATTTTATTTATTTATCTTTAGAGGGGAAGGGAAGGAGCGAGGGAGAGAAACATCAATGTATGGTTGCCTTTCGTGCGTCCCCTGCTGGGAACTGGCCTGCAGGGAACCTGCCTGCAACCCTGGCATGTGCCCTGACTGGGAATCGAACCTCAATTGTCTGGTTCGCAGGCCCACGCTCAATCCACTGAGCTACACCAGCCAGGGCTCCCTTCATTTTAAGGCGGATGAATATTCCATTCTATGCACATACCATACCTTCTTTATCCATTCATCCCTTGGTGGACGTTTGGGTTGCTTCCTCTCTGGGCTTTGTAGATAAAGCTGCAATAACAGGAGTGTGCACATGTATCTTCGAGGTCTTGTTTTCGGTTCTTTTGGATTTATACCCATAGTGTGAATATACACATTCACCGAATATATCATAACATATAGTACATAGTCATTCTGTTTTACACATAGTAATTATATATTTAACATATATAGTAATTCTACATTCAATTTGTTAAGACCCTCTGCCCTGGTCTCCGTCGCAGTTGCATTATCTTATATTCCCACAGCAGTAGATACAGGTTTCAATTTCTCCACACCCTCACCAACACTTGGTATTTTCTGTTTTTTCTTTCCATGTGTTTACTGGTCATCTGTGTATCTACTTTGGAGAAATGTGTATTTGAAATTATTGCCCTTTTTAAAGTCAAGTTGTTTTGTTGGTGTTAAGTTGTAGGAGTTAGTAATTTATATATTCTGTATATTAACTGCTTATCAGATACACAAGGGGGGACCTACCAGAAAAACAGAATTTATTTATTGAAAAATTCTGTGTTTCTTCACTCACCTTTGAAGTATCTTCCATTTGATGCAATACACCTATTGAGACTTCTTTCCACTGCTCAAAACAGTTTTTGAACTTGTCAATTTTGATGTCTTTTTAGTGCTTCTGCTGTTTTTTTGGTTCACCTCTTCCACATCCGCAAAATGTTTCCCTTTGAGGACTTTCTTTCATGCAGGGAAACGAAAAAGTCACTTGGGGCAAGATCAGGTGAGTAGGGAAGGTGGGGCACAGGGGTCAGGCTGTTTTTGGTTAAAAACTGCTGAATACTCAGTCCTTTGTGGGCAGGTGCACTTGTAAATCACCTATCATAAAATGGGCAAACAGTTGAAATAGTCTTCCAAAAAAATTCACTATAGCTGAATGCAGCCTCTCACAACAACGCCAGCTGGTTCACTGGTACAGATGGGTTCCTAGAATACTCACCTAGCAGGGGAAGCACGTACTACAAGGGGCCCACCCTCTGGAAGATAATTCCAGTTTTTGTTGAGACCCCCTTGTATGATGAGCAACCATTTCCTATTCCATAGGCTGCCATTTTACTGTTGATTGTTTCTGTTCTTCTTTGTTCTTTCAAAAGTATTTCTCTACCACCCAAAATATGCTCAGATTCTTCTGGTGTGGGATTCAAAGCAGAAACAGAAATCCTGCTCCAACATTTTTCTGCTCGTTTCTGCAGAATGGGTAGTCCAAAGTCAGTCAGACCTGGGTTAAATCCAGCCAGATCACTCACTTAGTAGCTGTGACTTTGGGCAAATCACTCTCTGAGCCTCTTTTTGTCCTCTGTAAAATCAGAATAATCATACTTCACAGGGTTGTCCTGAGGGTTTAAAGGCTGTCCTGAAGAAATGATTAAAATGTATATGAGGAAAATGGTAACTGCATTACTATTGTCATAATAACAATTTGATATTATTCCAATTATCACCAAGTCATAAAACTTAGAATACAAAGCATTATGGGAGAAATTACCTTAGACACCGAGGAGGAAAACACTGATTAAAACATTTTAGAAGCTACTTTCACTCTTTCTAGTTAAAACCTACTGCATCTGGGGATCCTCCAGGGAAGAGACAAGACTTTTTTTTTAAGATTTTATTTATTTTTTAGACAGAGGGGAAGGGAGGAAGAAAAAAAGGGAGAGAAACATCAATGTGTGGTTGCCTCTCACATGCACCTTACTTGGGACCTGGCCTGCAACCCAGGTATGTGCCCTGACTGGGAATTGAACCAGCAACCCTTTGGTTCACAGGCTGGCACTCAATCCACTGAGCCACACCAGCGAGGAATTTTCTTTCTTTGTAGTGCCAGTAGCTCACTTGGAGTTGGGCACATAGTTAATGATTAATTCATGCTTAACTAATGAATGAACAGAGAGAAGCTGAGCAAGTGAATGGTTGTTAATTGTTTCAATAATCAATTGGTCGCCTCAGTAAACCGGGATTCTAGTCCTGAGAGATGTCTTCAGTGTTTTTTGTGTGTGAGTTGTTGACTGACTGAGACCAGAAGCATCCCCTGAGTACAAAACTATACAAAGCTAATGGAATGTTTCTGGTTTATAACAATAATTTGGAAATGAAAACATTTCTATCTGGCCCACATAGAGTAAAAGATGCACTGGCAGAATTTGGCCTCCCTCCTAGCAAATGGTGTTGTTAGCCAGAAAAACAGCTCTGTAAAATATGAGGATCAATGTAAAACATAGTTTTTTCTCATTTTTAACATCGTCAAAGGTAATTGACTGTTTACATTGAATTATTGGGTTTATAACAAATGTACAAGTTAAATACACGATAAGAATAGCACAGAAGATGGAGGTGGTAAATGAAAATATCTATTGTAAGGCTCTTCTATTTTACGTGAAGCATTTCAGTGGGGTTTGAGAGTACACAGAGGTCGTTTGAAGATTTATACTGTAAACACTAGAGCCACTCCTAAAAAAATTTGTAAGATGAATAACTGCTCAGCCAATAGTGGAGATTAAATGGAGCCATAAAATATATTCAATTCATCCAAAAGAAAACAGAATAAAAGGTAAAGAGGAACAAAGAATTGGGGATGATTAGAAAACAAGTAACAATATGGTAGACTTAAGGTACACCCACATAACTAATGAGATTAGATGTAAGTGGGTCTAAAACTTGAAAGGCAAAGAGGCAAAGATTGTCAGACTGAATAAGACAAGCTTCACTGTGGGGCTTATTCCAGGAGGGCTAGAGTGGATAGTAGTATATTATTAATATATTAGTACAGTCATAAAAAGAATTCATCAACTTAACAGAATTAAGAAGAAAAACCACACAATCATGCTCACAGATATCAAAAAGATATTTGACAAAATTCAACATTTAATAAGATAAAAATTGATACCTACAATGCATAGTAAAATGTATATACCTCTGCCTTAAAAGAGCATTGAACTTAATTTGGAATTTCTACAGGTTTTCCTGGTAAAGTCACTAGAGAAAAGACAAGAATATTCATAGTCTTCACGGAAACTGCAGCATTGACTTTGAGTATTGGCCAAAATTAGATAAGAGGAAATAATTAGAAACATAAAAAATTGAATAGCATGAAGTAAAACTATCTCTACGTATGAATGTTTTGATGGTAATATCTACGGGGGCAATGAGAAAATGGCTACAAACAAAAGAAAATTTGGTAAATTAGCAGGAAATAAAATAAATGTATAGAAAGTCACAGCTTTCATACATACAAAGAGCACACAGTTTAAAAATATAATGGAAGAAAAAACCTGTTTATAAAGGGTATACTACAAAGTAAAATACTACAAAGCTTCTGTTAGGCAGAAGCTTAACAAGTAATGTGTAACATATATGTGAAGAAGACCATAAACCATTCTTATTTGTCTCACTTGAAGACATGCTTATTGATTTGAGAGAGAGGAAGGGAGGGAAAAACATCACTGCGATAGAGAAACATTAATCAGTTGCCTCTCAGATGTGCCTCTACCTGGCCGAACCTGCAACGGAGGCATGTGCCCTGACCCGGAATTGAACCCACAACCTTTCAGTTTATGGATTGATGCTCCAACCAACTGAGCCACGTGGGCCAGAGCCCATCACACATTCTTTAAAGATAAAAAGTAGATTTGAATAAGTGGAAAGAAATAATATGGATACCCATGGTCTTGGATAAAAAGACTAAATATGAAAAATATGTCACCCGGGCTGGTCCTGGTGCATGCAGGAGGCAACCAATCAATGTTTGTCCCTTCCTCTCTCTCTAAAAGCAATGAAAAAAAAATGTCCTTAGTAAGGATGAAAATAATAATAATAAAATTCAAAAAAAGCAAGAAAATAGGCCCATCTCCCAAAGTCCTTACAAAAGTCTCACAATCCTAATAAAAATATTGTTTGGTATTTTTTCCCTTTGAGTGACAATTGATTATACAGTTTATATAAAAAGACAAACAAGAGTAGCAAGTATAAACAAAAATCTAGAGATACCTTTTTAAAAAATGCGA